TAATAGATCAAAAACGAATCAACTCAATCAAAACCTCAATCAAAAATCAAAATATCAGCGTCCAAATCAATCAAATCAAAAGCGTGGAGCTAATCCTTCAATCAAGATCAGTCTGGCTCTTCAGATTGATTGATTTGATTGTTAGCAAGTCTGCTTGACAGCCTTTCTCACCATTCATAATGTACGCCTGGCTATCAGTTGCAATTATGACATAGTTTCCATGCTCGCACCTCGTTGTTGACCTCCGTCAGCTGAAAAGCCTTATCTCACTGCTTTGGTAAGTGAGTGAAGAATAAATATCCTTCACTGGATATCTAGACCGTTATGAACAAGCTTGTTACTACAGGCATTCGGGAGCTCCTCTAGTCCTCTTCTTCCATAATATCTTGCAGCCTTGTAAACCCTTGCATCAAATTTCTAACAGAATTAACATTCTGATGATCAAGATGTCTCTTGACGTCAAAAAAACTGGAATGATGCGTGTAAAGTAAGATATTGATGTCACATATCGACACAATAAACATGGAATGCTCAAGTCATCTAGCGCTGCTGCCAGGTCATAAATCATTGTGGTCAATGTCGGACCTGAAAAGACAAGATATATTCTGCATAAGAAACTCTCAACTCACCACTCCAGACTGTTCTAACGCATGATATCTCAAGGTCCTATCAGAAAAAGTTTTACCATTTAAGATATCCGCACCGATATCTTCGAAGTCTTCGTGGACTGGCTGTATGAGAATAAGCTACTTCCATCTGTCCAAACTGTTGATGGCTGGCTTATATTCTATCTGTACATGCTCGCAGACTGGCTCTCGGTGATTCGCTTGAAAATCGCATTGATGACTGCAATCTTTCACGGGCTTTCTTCGTGTTACGTGAGCAACACCACGGTCTGTACGCTTTTTGAGGCTCTACCGAACAATAATCCTTTGCTTCAGCTAGTTGTAGATGCATTCTGCATCAACGATGGTATCGAACACTTGGGTACAGAGAGTCTTGCCAGCATTGATAGCTTGCCAAAGGAATATCTGACCCGAATAATGCGCAAGTTTCACCAGCTAAGCCCACTGCCCAAGAAGGAGAGAAAACCCCATCGTGAACACTACAGTATGACAGCATGCTTGCCGGGTTTGATTGGTGGAGGTGAAGCATGAAGGCCTTTCCCCCGACCAGAGAACAAATCGAGAAGGAGAAAGCTTGGTGAGCGGAGTTGGACTTAAAAGTGCGACTTCACGAAAAGATGGAGCTTATGGAATCAGATCAGAGGGAGATATTTTGCATGGATCAGGAATGGCTCTAGGTTCTTTTGGTGTTATAGGAGGAATGAAAGCGAAGTTGCTTTCCTACCAAGACCCAGTTAGCGTGTGATGACATAAGTGAGGCTCCGCTGTCTTGGTTAGCGCCGCGCTCCAAGCTTCAGCAGCGCTATTCGTCATTTCCTATAAGCAACACTACTTCCACCACAGGTACCGTTCCTTTACCATAACTCTTTACGGCCCAGGCAACGCTCTTGCATTAGCTTGCTGAGCTAAGAAATTCATCGCACAAGCACAAACACTGCGCGTTCGCAACCCAATCGAGTGCTACATCTCGAGCAATTCACAGCGGTCTTGTAAGTCAATAGTTCACGGAACTGGGCGCATGTATTGACACGACTCATAGTCAGCTTATACACCCTCCGCCGCAATCATGTCAGACGTCGAAGCCGAGCAGAAGCGCGAGGAGGATGAGCGTCTTGATACCGCAGAAGACCCAAATGAGGAGGTACGATCCGAGTCCTCTCCTGCACGTGGAAGGCATTTGTCCAAGTTTGGCATGCGCGTGTCTGGATATACACATCGCAAGCAAAAGTACTGACGACAATATACAGGAAGAAATCTCTGCCATGAGGCGCCGCGTTCAGGAGATGGAGGAAGAGGCACAGAAGCTGCGCCAAATGCAGCAAGCCATCGACAATGAACGGCACGAGATGCGCGAAAGCAAAGAGGACGTTGATGCGCGGAGCGTCTTTGTCGGCAACGTAGACTATGGAGCCAGTCCCGAAGAGATTCAGGCGCATTTTCAGAGCATTGGTAGCATCAACCGTGTCACTATTTTGCTCGACAAGTTCACAGGACATCCTAAAGGGTCAGTACTAAGAGGGGGTTTTCTTTGAAGATGTGCGCGTCCTTGAACTTTTGAGTCGATTGCGCACAACGAGTGGCGCAAAGCCGGAATCGCCCGTCGCGTTGACTTAGTTTCTGTCTCTAGACATTTACAAGATCGTTCTTTCGCTACCTGGCAAGAGTTTGGCAGAAAGATCGGAACGCTAATGAGCGTATGCAGGTATGCTTATGTGGAGTTCACAGAACCCCATTTGGTCAATGAGGCCTTGGTCCTTGACAACAGTCAGTTCCGGAATCGCAACTTGAAGGTACGATTGCAGCAATACGTCGCATAATTTTTTCAGGTGCTAACTCTTCCGTAGGTTGTACCCAAGCGAACGAACCTCCCAGGTATGACACGAGGCGGACGTGGTGGCCGAGGTGGCGGCCGTGGTGGCTACGGCGGACGTGGCTCGCCATACGGACGCGGCGGATTTAATAGTTACGGCGCTCCTCCTCGAGGAGGTGGTTATCGAGGTGGATACCGCGGAGGAAGAGGAGGTTCCGCCTACCGTCCTTACTAGAGTCGGGCAATAGCACACACGGATTTGTGTTGGGTTCTCAACCGTTTTATTGAAGGGAAGGTTCATAAAGGGGCACATGAAATTGGAACGGAGTCGCGGTGAAGCTTTGCAACAACAAAGGGCTTTGTACTATACCTCAAAAGGTCCACTGGGGAGGACATGCTGCTTGGAATATGGCATCAGATTTGTCCTCATTTCCACCACCCGGACATAATTTTCTTTCAAAGGAGCACGCAGTTTTAATACATCTTTCGGTACCATCTGTTTGAGACATTGCAGGATCTTGAGACGAGTGGCCAATTTGCAAGTCAATAGTGAATGCTATTCTGAGAGCAGGACGCTGTCAATGCAGGGAGAGATCAGGTATTGTAGCCCAAAAGAGCCTTTTCTCCGCTTGCGCATCCTCTCGCCTTTGGGCATGATGCCCTAGACGCCAGAACTTGTCATGGTAGCGTCAGGGATGCTCCACAATGATCGCGCCAAAGCAAAGCAGCCAAACAAAAAAATCCAAGAGCAGTTCTCCTCATTCTCCGATCTCTCCAGTCGCTGAGTACAACCCTGTGTTCGAAGGCGTGGCTTGTCAGACCTCCGTATTCTTCGGTCGCTATGACGACGGTAAAGTGTCTGCCGTGGCCCTCGCAGCAGAAGAGGCACGCGTTACAAAAGCTGCTCCTTCTTCAGCCCTCCTCAGTCATACAGCACCCTTTCACTCCTCTTTCCGCCGATGTGGTGCGTCATAACCGAGCTACTAGGGGGCTGGATTCTCCTTGACGATCTGCCTGACTTTGCGCTCGTATGCCGCCTTGTCCTTCTTGAACAGATTAAATGCGTCGGCTTGCGCCGGCGACTCTGGGTTGGGTTCGTCGAGCAGCGACTGAATACCCAGCAGGATCTCTTTGATATTTATCGCGGGCTTCCAGCCTTCTTCTTCGTTGAGGATGGAGAGGCAGACGGTGCCAGAGGGGTAAACGTTGGGGTGGAATAGTGGCGGCACGAATTTACCTGTGGGATGACACGTTAGCCGTGAGCTTTCAGCATATCGGGGCACCTGCGATTCTGCGGCTGAGTGCCTCGGGCATAAGAGGGGGAAACGTACACTTTGGCGGCTTTGTTGGGTATTCATCTGGGAAGGTGACTTCTAGCTTGAACAAGCCGCCTTCCCAGATGGTCTTTTCCTTGCCTGGTACACCGCAATCCCACTTTTTGAGGTCCATCATACCGTTGGCGCCACGCATTGGCTTTGCGAAAAAGCCAAAGGGATGATCCCGTCGCCATGACTTTCTGGTGCGCTGTTAGTAAGTAAACAAGAGGCGGGTACGGATAGTTGCTTACCTCTCTTCTGAGAGCCGATTGATGCAGAGAGACATCGCAGGTGCAAGTGTGAGGCTGGAGTTTGCGCTTGAGCTGTCCTCTATCGGGATCTATTTCGGGCGTTGACAAAGAAGTTGGTGTGTTTTCAACGTGAGTGGTGAGCCGCCGATTGAAGGGTGTGCGGGCGTCGCAGTTATGTACAGGTGACAGCAGTGGTGAAGGTGAGCGAAAGCGGAACGAGACAAGGTGAAGTCGAGTTGCGGGCGCACGTGACGTGACAACAATTATCTCCCCCGGGGCGCGTCACAGCGTTGGGATTGTCGTCTCAGTGCTAGTCTAGATCCCGTTGGCAGCATTGGGAAGGTGCGATGGCCGATCTTGCCCCGCGCTAAACAGTGACCCCCGCTTATGTGAGTGAGGGTACATACCGCTGGGCCAACCGAGGCTGACGTTGCACATGCGTTTGGCTCAGGGCTCATGCGTATTCTTTACCCTTGCCTCTCCACCTTGTATTCCCTATCGTTCTTCACCTGACCGCCTGGAGCTGAGCGTGGGCAAGCATGGCGGACACAACTGTGAAGAAAGCAGAAGAGCCACAGCCGGCTAAAGCAACACCTGCCACCACGACCGCCCCTCCTCCACCCGAGGTTGCATCGGATCCCGAAGAAGACGACCTCTCTGACCTTGACGATGTACTGGATGAATTCGCAAACACCAAGCTCGATGCCAAAGCACCGACTGCCTCATCAATAGAAGCTGCGTACCCTAAATCTGACAAAGCGCCCTCATCCTCCGGACCTGGCAGGCCACCCGAAGATGTGGCGCCAGCGGACCTGTTGCTCGATGACCAAGAAGAGTTCCAGAAACAGTTGCAAAAAGAAATGGAGCAGCTCCTAGGACAGGGTGACTTCCAGAAGCAATTTGAAGAGATCATGAAGGAGATGAGTGAGGAGATGGGCGGCGCAAACCCTCTGGATGCTGGTGCGCATGTGCATAGCGAAGGACAAAAGGCTACGGGAGCACCTACTTCATCTGAAAAGGAGACTGCAGCGAAGGCTGAGAAGAGCTTCCAGGAGACCATCAAAAAGACCATGGAGCGCATGCAATCTTCGTCCGATACTGCCGCATCTGCCGCTGCATCCTCCTCACAAGATGATATTCTCGCGCAAATGCTTGCGTCCATGGAGTCCGGCGGCTTTGGAGGAGAGGGAGGCGACGAGGACTTCAGCAAAGTGCTCATGGGTATGATGGAGCAGCTTACGAACAAGGACATCTTGTACGAGCCAATGAAGGAGCTTGACGATAAGTTCCCAAAGTGGATGGAAGAAAACAAGACCAGAGTGGAGAAAGATGACTTGAAGAGATACGAGGAGCAGCAGACGTTAGTTCGAGAGATTGTGGGCAGGTTCGAGAGAAAGGGCTACAGTGATGACAACGCGCAAGATAGGGAATATATCGTTGAGAGGATGCAAAAGGTATGCTATCCCTTCCAGAATGCTTCTTTAATATATACTAATAGTCTATAGATGCAAGCCGCTGGCTCGCCGCCGCCGGATCTAGTCGGCGACATGAATGCTGCTCAAGAAGCACTGCAGGATATGGACCAGGGTTGCCCAACACAGTAGCTTCTCCTTGTGTGGTCGCCTGTACGCTTCATTCTTCCCAGATACCCTTCCAGTATATAAATGATGCTTTCCCCGCCCATTACACCCCTGACGACGTATGACGAACCGTTTTGTGAATTATAGGTTGTGTAATCAGGAGAAGCTCAAAAATCCATCATATCCGTATCCATCGTATCCTCGTTTCCAAATCCATTATGCACCGTCTGCGATAGCTGCTGTGGCTGGCCGTCCTCGGCCATTGCACACTCCATGAATATCGAGTCGTAGTCTTCATCGTCGCTACCATAGTGATGTGGTTGCACATCCGATTCTTGCTCTATGGACGCAATCAACTGTTGGAGCTCGTACTCCTCTTGGGCGGCGATATAATCGGCCTCGGTCATATCAGGATCAAATTGCTGCGCGTTGTTGAACATGGTGGATAATTGCACGTCCTCGGAAGGGTCCTCGATGATGTCGTCATTCACAGGCGGTGCCTGACGCGCTTTCTCTGCTTCCCAGCGTTTGCGTTCTGTTACAAAATCGAGTTGTTGAATCTACGTCATCGATTAGTTTTTGGTTTCCCAGGAAGATCGTGTTAAAGCACATACCTGTTCGCCTCGTGACTCCCATTTCTTGTCATCGCGATTATTCTGCACCCGCTTGAAGAACATATCTCTTCGTCTCTTCGTAGCTGCATCGCGCGTTTGCATAACTGGGTTGAACTTGAATGTGCGCTGTGGAGTTGGTGATTGTTCCTTGATAGGCGAAGACATTGTGAAGTCGAAGATTTGAGGTTGCACGTTTCCGGAGCGCTCAGATAATGGTGACGAGCGCGGTGGCGTGTATGGAGAGCAATGCGCCATTTGATGGGAAAAGAAAGACGTTGTGAGAATCATCTTTTGGAGCGGCTTGTTGTACTCGTTGTATTCAGTTGGGTATGCAAATGGTAAAGTACGAACTGTAGAAGGTGACAATGTGGTTGTATGAGGGGTTCAGTGTGGATGTAGATGGGAGGCAAAGAAGGTGGAGCAGACGCGAAAGTACGCGCGACAGAGCCACGGTGGTCTGTGCACGCTATCGATAAGAAACACGCCTAATACTCTGCGGCGCGTCCAGGCTGCACAAGGATGCCACTAATTCCCATCAACGCGATTCAGATGAAAGAAGTCTGGACTACATCTTGCTACAACCCCAGGTCTAGCCCCTGGCATTTGCATCCACCACATCAATTTGTTGAGATCGGCATAAATATCTGCCATCTACTGCCATGGCTTCTGGGGGCATAAGAAATTGTTATGAAGCAGCATATGTACATGATGAATAGGCATCAAAAGTCATCGACAGGAACTAGTTTGATGATTGATAGAAGGGTGAGGCCCGAGTAGTTTTCACACTACATTTTTTGGAGGGTACGTGGCAGTCAGCATGCTAGTCTAGGTGCAAAAGGACAATACATCTGTCACAAATTCTGTTACTGGGTCTCGCGTACCACACGCGCACACCCTGGATGCCGAAACATCTGCCGCATACGCAACTTACACACACATACATGCAGAGATGTTAGGAATATTTGCCATTGATTTTACTGACGTATGTATTGCTTATGGGCAGCATCTCGAACAATTGAACATGGTCCCCATTCGTCATGACGTCAGATCAGTCCTTCCAGGATCTACGGCACACCATTGCTTTACACGAGCCTATCACACAGCTTGCCACTGAAGAGCATCGGCATATGGAGATGCATGATAGGAATTGTACATTGCTATGCTTACGCTATTTTCACCGATGTTGGACCCACCTGAAGTCCGCTAGTCCGCCACACTTCCCTCGACCAGACAGAATACGGCAATGCGCTAGTGCTTTGCAGTCTGCAGGCCCGCCATGCCGCTGGTCGAGATGGTTCGTTTGGCGTGGCGACATGCAAACTTGCAACTTCACGCCCCCACGATACCCAGCCAATCGCTAAACCAGGCCGCCTCTGCATCTACTCCAAACTTCAAAGGACGCAACATGGTCTTAGCGAAGCTTGTATTAGATGTTACCTGCCCCCTGTGCCGCATTGAAGCGCATCCATTATCATGAGCCAATCCCCAGCCAGTCGCGGGGCGACGAAGAAGAGCCGCTACGAGATGAAAAGAGAACGGGATGTGCGGCTTCACTATGGGGCCGCCTTCTGCAATATACCACGCGTTGACAACCTGGCCACTCATGTCCCCCACCCATCTCACGACTCGACTCTAACGGCTTTGTGTCAGCTGACCGCTATCCGCATGGGAGGCCAGAGGGCCATGATCTCGCTTCTGGAAGAGGAACGACAACATATCCTAGCGGAAGCTACTTGTGATTCCCCCCTCCATCCAGATACACCAAAGGACGAGCAGGATGCGCTGTGGGTTGGAAGTGTTAGTATTCCTCGTAATCTGGCATTATGCGAGAATGTGTTGGATCTTAGTCGTGAGGATAATGTCTTAGTTGTCAATGATCTTACGGCACATCAGAAAACTGACCTTCAGGGTGCTGTTTACAGCAACTCCGATGCACGTTTTTATGCTGGTATTGCACTCATTTCCCCAAACGACACAATAGTCGGGACGTTATGTATCTTCGACAACCAACCTCGGGACGGCCTGACAAGTGAGCAACTTGGTCTTTTCAAGGATATAGCATCAACAATTATCGGGTACTTGAACACATACACAATCAGGGATCAGTACAGCCGAGGAGAAAAATTTACGCGCGGCCTGATCTCCTTCGCCGAAGGTGCGACAGCTCTATTGCCTTTTGAGCACAACGAACAACAAAACCCATCATCAATACCTCAGGAATTTCCGGACCTAGCTTCGGAAACAAAAGAAAATCCTCTCTCTACACATGGCAGGGGAAGAACAGAGGCGGACGATCCATCACCAGACAATTCGCCTTCCCCGACCCATAAGGCAACTACCGCGAGGTCTGCAAGGCATCAAGCAATAGGGGCACTTCAAGACTCTATTCTGCCCATGGGCTCAAAATCAATGTTCTCTCGTGCGGCGAATGTCATGATGGCCTCGAGTAATTTGGATGGGGTACTTATATTAGATGCAAGCGTTGCAGCAAACGGAGGCCAACAGCGCAGCAATACCACTTCTCGAACCAGGAGCAGCTTCGATTCTCTATCTGAATCTTATCAGTCGGCATCTTCTAGCGAGGGACCAAGTTCAAACAGCACAGAGAGCAACGCGTACAATGCATCTTCTTCAAACTCCAAAACATGTAAGGGTGATGTTCCATGACTTAGATGTAGAGTAGTAACTGACCATACCCGAAAACTTATAGGTCAGTTGCTTGGAGTTGCCACTTCTAATGACAAGAGGAAAGCAGCATATGGGTCGTTGTTGGAGTCTGATCTTGCGCGTATGCTCCACGAATATCCACATGGTAAAATCTTCACTTTCACAGCCAGCGGCATATTTGTATCCTCAGACGAGACCACCTCGAGCCCTTATTTTACGGAGCAGTTACCCAGAATGGCTTCTTCCAAACGCCAGACAAAGAACTGGTCAAAGAGATGCTCGGAAGCTATCCAGTCAATGTTTCCTGAAGCAGCTAGCGTCGCGTTTGTTCCATTCTGGGACTTTGAGAGGTCACGGTGGTTTGCAGGCTGTTTGTGTTGGAGCAACAACCCATATCGCCTACTTTCTCCCTCTGTTGATTTGATTTATTTAAAGATTTTCAGCAATTCAATCATGAGGGAGTTGTCAAGACTGGATGCTATGGCTTTGGATCAGGTAAGATGAGACAGTTCGTATATGCTATATCAAGAGCTACGAGCCCATTCAACCAACTTAACATTACTATCTATCATGCATACAGCTCTCCTGACCATACTTGACTAACAATTTTCTAGGCTAAATCAACATTTGTAGCCTCTATATCTCATGAGTTACGATCTCCTCTGCATGGAATATTAGGCACACTGGAATTCTTCAAGGACACGCCCCTGGATTCCTTTCAGGCCAGTATGCTTAATTCTTTGCATGGCTGCGGAACAACCCTTCTTGACACCATCAACCAAGTCATGGACTATGGCAAGATCAGTGAATCGAGAAACAGCATCTCTTCGAAACGAATAAAGAATGAAAATACCATAAGGCTGTCATGCAAACCAGTAAGGGGTAGAAGGAGGAAAGATCCCGCTTTCGATATTAGTACTGCGACAGAAGAAGCTGTAGAGGCTGTCTTCATAGGGTCGTCATACATCCCCGTCACCGCTAAATACATCGAGCAACTTCCATCAAGAACAGGGTATGAGTCGGCTCCTCTTCCAAAACGCAAGGTACGATTTGTCATACTTGATGTGGCATATGAAGATGATTGGATGTTCTCTTTTCCAATCGGATCATGGAGAAGGATAGTTATGAACTTGTTCGGAAATGCTGTCAAGTACACAGAGTCAGGCTGTAAGTCAAATATTTCTCAGTCCATCGATACTGTGGTAATCAATTGGATTGGTTTCAAAGATGTACTGTGGCAACAGCATGAGCCGAAAATGTTCTCAGAGATTCGTACTGGTCAAGTTCCATATCAGCCCCATCCCGAAACGAACATTTGCTGTTTGGTTTTTTCCCTACTAAAAGATGTATTGCTAACGTGGGGTTTTGTAATTAGATGTGCACGTTTCTTTGCGTTCTAGCAAATCAGCAGAAAACAACAATGCACCTACAACGATTATACTTACAATAACCGACACGGGCTTGGGAATGACTCCATGTTTTCTTGCCAACCGAATATTTGAACCCTTTTCCCAAGAGAACTCACATTCGCCTGGTACCGGACTGGGCTTGAGTATAGTCCGACAAATTATCGACACGAGCGGCGGGAAGATTGAAGTCAGCAGCCAGCCGTCCATTGGCAGCAAAGTCACCGTTAAACTCGCACTTACTCAGCCGGAGTCCTCGGATATGTTGATGGCCGAGCATAGACGGTTTCAATCGACCCTAGCAAGATTGCAGGGTCACAGAATCTGCATACTTTCCAGGAAAACTAAAAAGTCTCCAGATGATGCCGATTACTCACAAGCTGAAGAAGGACTTGTACGCTTCACCAATGCGCTCGCTGACACCCTCGAAAAGCACCTGAAGATGGACGTTGTAATGTCTACCGATTCTGAATACAATGGTGCAGACATTGTCATTTGCCCAGAAGTTTCCTTCGATTATCTCAACATTATTCGTCGTCGTAGAACTCGCGATCAGCAAGCTCCTGTCATCATCTTTATCGGGATGGATGCACTTGAAGCAGCTACTCTTCGTTCAGACGTTCGTGTGACTTCCAGGCAGTCTGTAGTTGAGATCATAACTCAGCCGTGAGTATTATTCTTTTGGTGAGATCAGCTTTGACTAACTTGATCAGATGCGGGCCGCACAAATTGGCTTTTGTTCTTAATCGATGCTTGGATCGATACGACCAACCTGGCGATAATGTACAGCCTTCGAGGGCGGTCAGCCCCCTTCCCCAAACTGCAACCTATGGAGCTAAAGAGCTGGGCATTTCCATTCCGCCACCCAGCCCTGCTCAACTGAATGATAAACCATTGCAGGCCAGACCCGCAGAGAATGCTGCTAAGTTCCCAGCTACGACGCCTACACCACAGCCTGTACATGTCCCACATCAGGAAGAAGACTTGGCTGCATCCCATATACTCATCGTCGATGACAACATGTTGAACCGAAGAGTAAGTGTAACTCTCTGCACATAAGTGTAGTTCTGACGATATCAGTTACTTGTGGCATTCATGAACAAGAATGGTTTACAACACCAAGAAGCGTCAGACGGTCTTGAGGCATTGCGCAAGTATCAAGCGGACCCACACAAGTTCGAGGTGATACTCATGGGTAAGTAGCCTACCTGGCTTCAAGATCTATCTGCAGTGATGCTTATGATATGGCAGACATGTCGATGCCGGTCATGGACGGTATGGCGGCCACTCGGGCGATTCGCGAACACGAGCAAACCCACAATTTACCGCGCAGCTTCATTATCGCATTGACTGGCCTCGCATCCTCAAGCGCCAGGCTGGAAGCATGGAGCTCGGGCATCGACCACTACATCACCAAGCCTGTGAACTACAAGGAGCTTAGAGAACTTTTGAACAACGAGAAATTGCGAAAGGATGGACGCCGGATATCTTCGGAAGTTCCTGAGAAAACAAGTGAAGAGGCTACGGAGAATATAGCTTGATTGCAAGCGACCGCGTCCTATACTGATTCGGAACAACAGCATTCAAGCCTTCGGTTCTTCAAGGATGGCTATTGTTGACATCCATATGCGCAGCGCTTTCGAAGGCACACATGTCCCATCGCAGTCACCTGTCGCACAACTCGCACAACTCGGGGATAGCGTACCCCATTCCATTCAATCGCCAGAGAGCAAAGCCCCAAAAGATTCATCTCCTTACACCTTGTCTTGAATCTCGCTGGACCGAAGATGCATAGCAAAGTATAAGCAACAGTTTCGTAAATAGAAGAATACGGTGCATCTGGCACGAATATATCAATCATCATATATACATATATCAACCTGCTTCTTGTAGCGTTCCAGGCACCTCCTTTCACGTATCCCATTTGTACCGTCCGTATCTTCTTACCAACGTCTAGTCTTTTGCACGATAGGGGGTCGGCGAATCTACTTATCGCTCCTTATCTTCTCTCGTCGATCACCTCGGCGTTGGGATTTTAGCTTTGTACTAATCGCACACTAGCACTGGGCGATGTTGACCCCGCATGACCCAGGTGAGCAGTTTTCCATCATGGCTGACCAACGTATCGAGAATATAAAGATTTGGTTTCGAGTTTCTTTCATCAAAGCACTGATCGGGCTTGTGGTTTAGTGGTATAATACTCCCTTAGCATGGGAGTGGTCCGGGGTTCGATTCCCCGCGAGTCCATCTCTTTTTGCCAACGCTTCGGCTTTCCTCATCTTTTTTTTTGCCTCGTTAACCGTCATGAACTTTTTTTTTCGGGTAGCTTCAGGCTGTGTATGCACGTGTTTTTATGTACGCAGTAATCTGATGCCAAAAGAAAGATGTAAAAGTTATTAGTCCAGTTGGAGTGAACAGACATTTTGGTCGCTTGGTTTCGTTTTAATAGGTGTTAGGAAGGGACAGAATATATCAATTGCTATATATTGATGTTTATCAGGAAAAAAGAAAATGTTTTCATGTACAGAGTCTACATCTACTGCACAGCAACCTTGTTCCATTTCAGACCGTCAGTCAAACTGCCCATTCTCGCATCCCAGTTATCCACATAGTAGTTATCCCTTGGTTTCCAGGGCCCCGTATTCGCACACTGGGGCATCTTTCTCGCGTTGGCCTGGATATACGTGCTGTTAAGCGGCGAGGCGGACATGGACTTCTCCTTCTCTGCGTCGGTGATGACGGGCACAACGCTGGTGTATCCGTTATCGCGCTGGTGCCTAATGAGGCGAACGTAGAGGCGCGATGCGGCGTCTGAGCCGAGGGTCCAGGAGGCGTTCCAGTAGCCGATGATGTTGCCGAAGTTGGGGAGGGAGGTGAATAGGCTTGCGCGCCACATGTATTGGGCGCCGAGATCGACGTGTTCGCCGTCGACGGTTGTTTGCATGCCGCCGAGGAAGTTGAGGTTGAGACCTGTGGCGGTGATGATGATGTCTGCGTCGAGGCTTGCGCCGTTGTTGAGCTCGATGCCGGTGGCGGTGACGGTCTTGATGGTGTCGGTTACGATGTGGGCTTTGCCGGAGCGGAAGGCTTTGAAATAGTCGCCGTCAGGGCAGAGACACATGCGCTGTTGCCAGGGCCCGTAGCTAGGCTTGAAGTGTGGGTCGATGGGGAAGTCGGGTGGGAGCTGGCGGGCTGCTTGTTTGATGATGAAATTTCCAGCGGTGGATGGGAACCACATGCAGAATTTGTAGAGGAGGATGGGGACGAGCGTGAACATGAAGCCTGGGTGGGTTAGCACTTGGGCATGCGGCGGAGGGGGAAATTGGTGACGTACGCTTGTAGCGGAGAGTAAACCACTCGGGAGCATACTTCTCAATCCACGATTTCCTCTTTTGACCTATGCTCATAATGTAGCTAGGGCTTCGTTGCAGCTGTGTAACGCTTGCAGCCCCACCGTCAACTAATGCAGGCAAAAGGGTAATAGTTGTTGCACCGGATCCAATAATAACAACCTTCTTGTCCTTGTAGTTGAGATTCTCTGGCCAGAACTGTGGGTGTATTCTCTGTCCCTGGAAATTGTCGATGCCTGGTATGTCTGCCTTTAGAGGTTCGTCGTAGTTATAGTATCCAGTACCCATGATTAACCATGAGGTCCAGTAAGTGACTCTCCGGGGCTCTCGTCCGACGTCATTGCCAACTTCCACCTCGACTCTCCAGCGCTGCTCGTCAGTCCTCCAGTCGGCCGCCAAGACTTTGTGCTTATACCGGATCTTCTTATCAATGTCGAACTTTTGCACCGTCTCCTTCAGATAGCCCATGATGGTCTCTCCTCTTGCAATGGGCTCCTCTTTGCGCCAGGGATTGAATTGGAAGCCTAGCGTGTGCAGGTCCGAGTCGGAGCGCACACCGGGATACCTGAACTGCGACCATGTTCCACCGAGTTCATGGCGTGCCTCGAGGATAGTAAACTTGACGTCTGGCAACGACTCTTGTATGCGGTAGGCGGCGTTGATACCGCTGATTCCGCCTCCAATAATCAACACATCAAAGTACGAGTCGATCATGGCGGGTAGCAAATGTGATGTGGTGGTGTGACGTGCGACACGGACGGGTGAGCAAGTACGGGGAAAGGCGGATTACAAGGCCAGATATATGTAGTGTCGTCGGGCGGTGAGACCAGCCGGCATTAACATGTGTACAAAGGGGACCCTGTCTCCACAGCTTGGTAGATAGGCTTTGTCCATGGCTCCAGACTAAAACTGAGCAGATGTGGCGACCGAGCTCAAAATTGCTGTAATGCCGTCACCCCTGTACTGTGGCTGTGACGTTGGCTGGCATAATTACACAGTAACAATCTAACTGATTCGGGCAGGCATACATATCGGCTTCGGATGTTCGGACTGGAGCTTCGCTAATGTCTCCATTGTGCAAAAGCAACCTCACTCCTCGGCGCCCGAATAAACCTCTGCCTTCGTCGCCACCAGGATAACTAGATGCCGCAGTCTGAATGTATGATTGTGTTAGTTCTCATCTTACCAGCCCAAACAAAGGCACAAACAAGATTGAACACAGTCTCGCAAGTCTGGTTCAAGCAACCCAATTTATGAGGGGTTGTAATTATCATATCATACCGTATCGTTACAATGGCTATGGTCCTCATCCCCACATGCATATGGTGAGACGCCTGCGCCACACCCAGCGCGCCCCGCACCGCGCGCCCCACCCACGAGGCACAGCCAGCTCCAGCTCGATGTGATTGGGGCGGGCACCTTTTTTTTACGCCATGTACTCGAATACATCGCATTGGAGACACAGGCGAATGAAAGACGTCATTTCTCTCTTTTTGCGCCGAGGCAAATTGTCTAGGGACAAGTCGTGGTTCCAGTCTGCGGTTTGAATGGTGCGCGCACCTTACTGCAAACAGCCTACGCCCGCATGTTGGCGAGCTCCGGCGCGGGCTCTCGCTTCCGCTGGTACTGTGTGTGATTGGGTATTGCGTGTTGATGGGCTTTTGCTACCGCAATCTGGGCCGGATGTGTGTGCGTGGATGCGGTGATGTGCTAGTATGGCACCATGGACACGCAGTGGCGTCTTGTCAAGCTCAGGAGGATCCCCCACTAGTCGGACAAAGGCATCGCAGACTCAAGACTTCCGATGGCCGACTGCCTCGGTATGATTTTGTGATCATGCGACAGCCCTGATCTAGCCAACGACTGCCATGTACTACACTACATTCACATGTCTCTCGCAACACTTGCTTTGGCAGGTTAGCGTACATACACACACGCATATACGGGGAGATAGGATAACACTGAAGGTGGTATCATTCGATTAACGAGAATAAAGCACTCTATTATGCATCTAGTTCAAGCAAAACCCTGCCCGCTACAAACTCAAATCTCTATAGCGTCTGCTTTCCTCTTGTCTCAATCGGCAAGACCAACATACTGAAGAACGCCGCGATGAACAGCCCACCACTTGCGTAGATGGGCGCCTTGGGGCTACCGCTGCTAGCGAAAATGGCGACAATGGGAGCGCACAGTCCAGCAACTCGGTTCAAGAAACTGCTGATACCAGTGCCAGTGCCGCGGATCGGGCCAGGGAAAACCTCGGGAGTGTATGCGTACAGTACGCCATACATGATGTTCTGGAAAAAGGCTTCCAAGCAAGTAAAAGCAAGTTGAAAGTCCGAGTCACTCGAGATGGTAAACAGGAAGACAAAGACACCAGTGATGACGGTCGCAATGGCCATCGTTCCCTTGCGGCCCAGGAACTTCATCTCGACAGCATAGCATGCCAAGAACGATCCAGGAACACCGACGATGGCAGTAATGGCATAGTTGCGGTACACGGTGCTCACGTCGTTTTCTACTTCGCCTCCAGAGTTGGCCAGGTATTGCGGCAGGAAGGCGTTGAACAGCGGATAGGCCATGCCAATGGTAGTCCATTGGAACCACAAGAGCACAGTGGTCAATCCGAGTTTCTTGTCCTGGAAGAGGATCTTAAAGCGGGCAAAGGAAAAGCGGCTGATGGACCGCTTGATGATTTCAAAGCTGCTGAGTTTGACATCCTCGCCAGTCACTTCCTGGTCGCCTCCAATGTAGTTGAGGATGTCTTCGGTAAGCCAGGTGTGCGTCTTATTGCAATACGCGATTCCGTAGACGGTGGCTACAGCCTCGGCCTGGCGACCACGTGACAGCAAGAACTTGGGCGACTCGTAGAGATGGAAGAAGAAGAAACGCGAGATGAACATGACGAAGGTGATGGCTCCAAGTGTCAGGATGAGGTATCTCCACCCCATGTTGTCTGACATTTTACACTGTCCAGCAGGAGTGCCGGCAGCACAGGAAAAGTTGGGAATGAATGCCCATGCGACTAGAACGGATTAGCACTGTACACTAACCAGTAGTGTGCTCGACTTACGTAGCGAGGCAATCAGGTTACCAATAGGCCAGAAGACGGAAAGCAATGTCAATAAGTTTCCAGATGTTTGTGGGAGAAACTCCAGGAAGAGTGCTCCGTCAACAGGAAGATTGCCACCGACACCGAGTCCGATACAGGCGTAGAGCGCGCATGTGCCGATCCAGTTAGGACCACCACCTGAGGCGAGACCAAAGGCACCGGCAAGGAACAGCGTAAAGTTGAAAGCAACACGGCGGCCGATAATGTCCGACGCAGTACCCCAGAATGATGCACCGATGCAGAGACCGAGGAAGAGCGCTAGGGTGGTATATCGAACTTCACTCTCACTGACACCAAACTCAACCGAGAGTTGTGGTAGCGTGAGTGCAACACCCTTCATACTGGTAAGCCACGACAACTGCAAAATTGTTATAATGTACGTACCTGCAACCACAGGTTGTCTGCCATCCATCCGCATCCAGCCAGGATAAAAAGCTTCCATTGGTAGCGGCCCATGCCCATATCGCCCAGGGCCCGGTTGATGACCTTGGACTTGCCTACAAGAGTTTAGTAAGTGTTGATCATTCCCCAACTGCTAACAAATCTGGCAGTTTAAATTAGCTTAACGTACGGTCATATGGGGTGTCGGTGCCCGAGGCGGCGACATCTGCTTCGATTTCTGCTTTGAGGGCTGCAAGAGTCATTCCATGGTTAACAACACCACTTGATGCATCACTTTCGGGGCGCGCAGGTTTATCGTCTTTGGAGCTTTTTTCAGAGGGCGCAGGGGAGTTGCTCTGGCGGTCGTGGGGAGTGGGGCCGCTGGGGACTGATTCTTCAAGAGGCACATGGACGCCGGGGAATTCATCCACACTGTGCGTCTTGAAGGGGTTTATAAACATTGTTCGAGGCATGTTGATGTAGTGAGGGTGCTGCTTGGAGGATCAATGGTCGTGGAGGAGTAGTTGCTTGGGTTTGGCGCAATGGTATTGAGGGTTGGCAGCAATGGGGCAGTCGCAACTGGGATGATCGTGCTCTGGGTCGTCGTTACCTCACCAAAGAGGTCGAGTCGTGGAGTTGCTGGGATTCGGTGGTGGTGGTAGTGGTAGTGGTGGTGTTGGCGTGTGGATAGTGGCGTATGTTGATCCTTCACGGTGGCTTCACCCAAGCATAGGATGCTGGAGGCTTGTGAGGCTTGGAAATGCTTGTGTATTTGTATGGCAAGCTTCCACAACAGCGAGGCCGTGGGGAGTAAGGGGAAGAGTATCGAGTAAACTCCATCTCAGGCGTGGAGAAGTGGCCCTCATATACCATTGCGAAGACCCTGGTGCCTGGCCTAAGTCAGAAATCTTTTACAATAGACGCAGGAAGTGGAGAGTCTTCGGTGAATGGCGCCAAGGAGGCGGCTCTCAGCGCGCGCCATGACATCATACCTGGTGGGTCCAACACCGAGCCATCACGTTTCTCTGCCCTTGAGTGCAAAGATCAGCCAACCCTGCAGCTGTCTTTCGCTGCGCCAGTTTAGTCGGCCGTTTAGCGGGCACATCGTTCTCGGTGCCCATGAGCCCTACGTAGGTTGAACAGAAAGCGGACACACCGTCTCGTGTCCCCTGGACTGTCCGCCCGTCACCTCATGCGCAATGACAACACCTTGACACACACAGTACGCTCCATGGTTCGCCAATGCGTGTCCGCAATGCATAGAAGAAGACGCAATCAGTCGCTCTCGAGTGAGTTCAGATGGCATCGTATCATATCGTATCCAGCTTTGTTCCAGTACGTGAGATTGATCTGTGGCGGCTCCAGAAAATTTTGCCGCGTTCCGAAACGCGACTAACAGTATTCGTTACGTTTTCGTTGCTCTAGCTTCACACACGCAAAAAAGGCAAAGAAACCGTCCAACTCCACTTAGAAGTGCCGACAGGCATGTGCCATCAATCTAACCGTGTACCGTGGGTAAGCGCGGGGTGAGTGGTGCTCCTTCAACGCCTGTCTCCATAAGGTATGCCATTCCTGGGGCCGACTCCAGTTCCCCGGGCAGGCCCGAAGTTCAATCTTGAGATGAGATCGACATACAAGTGTCCGGTGCCCTCAGTAAATTTTCAGGGAAAAAAGCCCGGGGCACTGTTTCGCCGTTGGGGTCGTTGCCGCTGGTCATGACGGTAGAGGAAAGCAGACCCTTTGACCCCACAGCCATCGCACGCCTTCATTTCTGGCTTTCGACAAATCAGGAATTAGAGCCAAGCCGGAGCGAGATTGCCATGTGGATCTACGTAGCACAGTAGTCTAGGGATGTTGTATCGATCGAAAGCAAAAGCAATATCACGCGACGTCCCGCCCCGGGTGACCCCGATCCATGTATACACATAGACAGTACTTTGGCAATGTTGTATCGTAAACTGACTCTACGGAAAAACAGTCGCTCTCAAAAAATGGGTCTTTATTGGAATTCGCCATATAGTTCATTGATGTTGCAAAGTAAATTAAAGGCAAATCAATGGACCAATTGAAAGTGAGACCTGCTGCCAGAAACACTTGGCAGGTATCCGCTTCACACGATAACTAGATGTACCACGATAATCAAATGTAACTGAGGATATAAGACCGCCCAAGCCCTTATAAATATGCAAATTAACGCACAAGTGCTCGTATGACAGTAGACCAACTCAACTCAGCATGCTGTGCTACTCGCTTTGGCTAATTCATCCATCGCCTTGTTCCCGAAACAGCCATACTACGTATTTACACACAAGTGCCCCCAATATCCATAGCATTCCTTCCATAAAAAGTGTTGTTACGTCAGGAATGGCCCCTCGGGGTCCCATTGCGCTCCCTCGCCTGGGCTCCGCGGCAGTCGCAATAGTATTAAAACCTGGCGTACCCCGGGCACCTCCGCGTGTCTTGAAACGTGAAAGTTCCAGATCAACTACTGTTATATGCTGCACTATTTCAGTGTTGAAAGGAAGCCTTGCTGTTAGCTTAATCAACTGGGTCCCTCCAATCGCGACGCCACCTTCACACCCCTGCTCGACTTCCACAGTCCCCGTGGCCCCCAACCGTCTTACCCTCCTCCATCTCACTATCGAAAGAGATCTCATCACCATCAAAGAATTAACCACCGCCTATCCTGCAGCAAAAGATTGCCTCACTCTACAGAACGATGCCCTGACCTGACCATGTCAACCTCTTGCAACACCGCATTCGCGTTTTAAACAATGGAAACGAACACGCGCACAGATGCATTGGTCAACATACATGGCTGCATCTTTTCTCGACGCGACTACCCAGGCCATCGACACATCGGCAACGTCGAAAGTGAATGCGACCAAGATAAGACCGATAACAATGGTCGCAACGCGCAACAATCTTCACGGAGGATGCAACAAGTCGCACGTCTAGACTAAACGCATGTCTAAACTAGACGCACATACTAGAGAGACGACTAAGGCTATATGTTCTAGCTACGCAAATCCGAAATAACAAACAGTTGGCGTCTTGCCCTCCGTGTCCGTCTTCGGTTCCGATGACATGCCCCCATCTCAAACTCGGGTTGCTGCTACACCCACATCATAACGAGGAAGGAACGCACGAGGCCCAGCGTTCTCGGTTCAAAATGAATTCCGCACTATCGCAAGGGAGATGAGCGCGATGCGTCACCATCTTTCTCAACAAACCCGACCGTAAATAGGACGGACAAAGAAAAGGCAATGTCAAATGCTGGGGAAGGAGTGGTGCAGCTGCCGCCTTCTGTCATTGGCCTGGCAAACTCAGCCGACTGGGCGGTGTGGATGTGGCAAACGCAGTGATTGGACGGATTCGTGTCCCGGTCAAATCCGGGAGCCGCATCAACATAAGACGAGGTACCTGTCACCTTTCTATCTATCTGTTCCGCCCCCCCCATACTTTCAGAGCCACAAGTGTGCGAGTGAGGTGAGTACAGCAGTCTTTTCATCCATGGCGCATTCAAGGAAGTATGTGAGTGTCAGCTGCGCCGATATTGTCAACGGCTGCATCAGCGCAATTCGTCACAATTTCATCCTTTATTGCGACGACTACTAAGCTTTCTCTTTAGGCTCATGGTTATCGCAGCTTAAAAGTCTATTTGTTTACAAAGGCGCCAATACACGATTCCCCGTTGCTGGATGCGCACCACCTTCACAACACCCTCTTTCCCATCTGTTTTGGCACAGAGCTTTGTTTTCTTTCAAGCCTTTATTTCCCAAACGCTGCACTAGTCGATTGATATTGTTAGTCTTGAGGACCCTGCCCAGTCGTGTCCGAAGTACCGTGTGCTCCGTTGTGTGCATATGCATTGAGATGCAAATCATGCCAAGCCCATATCTGCTCCATACCACCTATATCAACGGCATTAGGATCACCGACGCTGCCGAACGGATTTTGCGCTAGGAATTGATCAATGTCGAATGAAAGGGCATCCGAGATGGGCATCGTTGTGAGGGACCCGGTTGCAGGAACCGAAGACTGGGCAATTGCGTCCGAAATTGGAGGTGGCCGATACGGTAATGGCAACCCTGTTGGACGCATCATGGCCACCGGCGCCGGCTCGTGAGCCGGCGGTGATCTCTTGGGCACAGGGATACCATCTTGCTTCTGTCGCTTGTCGATAGGCAAGTGCCGCCGAAGCGAAGGCGTTGCCTGCACGAGTTTGAAGAGAAAGTTGTACGAAGTTGCGCCTAGTTTCGTGGACAAGCTGAGCTGATACAACCTATCGAGCGAACTATCAATAACGTCCATGACCTCATCGCGATGAGGTAGCATATGTTTGTGGTCATGGATAATGGCAGAACAAAGTAAGGTCGCAGTATCGAAAATGCAGAAAACGACCGTATGGAATTTCGCGTTAATCGGAAACTCATGATCAAACAGCTTGCGCGCAACCTCAAGCAGACGGAGCGCAATCTCAATCCCCTTCTTTCGAAACTCGTCGTCCTGGTCGCTGAGCTTGTCTTCTCGCTCGCGCGTAAGATATGTCTTGAAGAAATCGAGCATTGTCAAAAAGATGACGCAGTGTAGTTGGTGTCGTTGGAACACAAAGTATGGATGTGCCTTGTCGAACGAGGTATCAGGGTTCTTAACACGAAAAATCGCGGGCAGTTCGTCGATGAACTTACGACACTCGTCTTCAATTTCCAAGACCTTCTCAGCAAAAAGATCATCTTTGGACGTTGCGTCGCCCATCACAGTTGCCACTCTTCGCCCCAGGTGTGCTTGCAGAGCCATGTGTGCGAAAGGTGAAAGAATGTTCGGTTCTGTGTTCGATTGGTCGAGCCGCAGGTTGGGAAATTTGAAAGAAAGATTCTTTTGGTTGATGAGGTTTGGTCGACCTAACCACGCTGACATCTGCCTGATGGACTTTAGTAACCGAATCGTTCCATCACATCTCCTTACTCACCAATCCCATATGTAAAGAAGAGTCCAGATTCGCCTTCTAATTTCTATATCAAACTCCGACAAGTCATCAATACCAGCATCCCTATCGATACCCAATTCTTGCGCCTCCCGAATAGTACGTGAAAGAGTATGCCACGATTCGACAATCTTCGATTCCGATTTTAGCCAGGCGCACTTCAGGAACTGCTCCTCTACCCGCTCAATACTTGTCCTCGATGCTTCAAAGCTCCGGCTAAGTTCCTCTGCCGCGGCCGAGAAACGTTCAGTGAGCGTTTGTGAAGTGCATGCCAGCTCGAACTCAATCATCTTGCGAAGCGACGGTGTCAGATATTGTACAGAGTATGCACATATCCGTAAGAGCAGGCATGTGAACTCGGGGGAAAACTGTTTGGCGGCACTGCGATCGGCCCACCACTGAACATATTGTTCCGCCAACGATGGCCCGTATATTGCACTGTAGCGGTAATTTACCGTGTTCAAGAAGTGGTTGACGATGGCGTCTGCATTCAGTCAGCAGTGCTGTGAACATGGTAATACTTGAACATACCAGTTATGGATCTCGGAGGAACAGCATGTAGCACCTTCTGCACAGCGTCGCTTGCTATGATTTGTGCTGGAGAATGCTTAGGCGAGCTCTGCGAGAAATACCGGTTAGCATGGCTTTTCTATCGAGGCGAGCAACTGACATTGTCTTCATTACTCTGAACCTTGTAATGAACATGACCTGGCATGTACCCCCACACCTTCAGCCCATCCTCAAGTACCTCATGCTCGCTGTTTTGTTTGACAAAATGCGACTTTGCGGAATCCGGGGCACTTCTCTTGATGCCTTGGGTGTTGCTGGACGAACTTGCTCTGTAAGATTGCTGTTACCGCCAGATTCGGCCAATCGAGGGGTGGAGGAACGAAGGATCAACATACCGTGCAGATTCAGGCGAAGACTCTTGCTGAGCTCGTTTTACAGAGAACTGACATAGCTGTGGCACCTTCCTCGCCTGGCAATGGTTGCAGGGCCACTCTCGCGAACACTAGCCCTGCCGTTAGTCCACGGAGTTCGATGCAGGGTTGGTCTGGGGTATGAGATTCAGACCTTTTGCTTCCGACGCTGGCACTCCGTGCACGACATCGTCGCACGGTTCTCTTTCTGCGGCTGCATTCTTCAGCAACTACGTTACATGGGAGAAAAAACAGCGCAACTGATGCTCCCCGAAAGCCCTGATGAAAACACTTCGATACTCAGACGAGCACTTTGGTGTTGTTGACGTTACAAGCCAAGTCTTCAACATCATCCCCACCAAACCCACCCGGAGCCGCTCCGCCACCTCCGTGGGCCGGCCGTCTCAGATCCAGATTTCTTGTCCCTAACTCCTCAGCCAATCACGTGTACAGTTGTGGCAAATGCCTTTTCCTTCGACAAGCTTTCCGATGCGCCTGACAACATCGCAATTCCAAATCTACCACCACTTTGAATGTAGCTGGCTGCCCGAGAAGACATGCACACCAGAAATTACTGTTCCCGCAAAGATCTTCCTATACACCTCGATGTTGGGCACTGTGGCTTGCCTGTCATATGCATCGTATCCATATAGATTTTTGCCGATCAGCTGAGTCATGCCGTCCGGCATAAGCGCTCGCCGAGTGCACTCATCGAGGCATTAATGACTATTTCATTTGACAACTACCGCCAACCTTGCCGAAGGACCTTCCTGTTTGGTAACAAATCAGAGGGAAAGCTATCCCATCTTGGCAGTGTATCCAGACCATGTGTCTTGAATGACTACTGGAAATGTACGTAAAAGGATGATATCCAACACGCGAAAGGGGAACGCGTCGCATCAGTGCACGGGCACCAACCAGGTAAAGACAAGAGTTCTCTGCGCCTTGCGAACCTTTTGCTTTTTTTGCTTTTCGATCAGAATTTTTGTTGAACACATGTATCATTTTGTAAACAGGATAAGTGTCATGTCATTTTTTCTCCTTTGATTCCAAGCAGATCTTTGCTCTGTACAGTGACAAGGGTGAGGGAGGGGGCGGGCAAGCCCCAAGCCATACCGGCTCCTACAGGATCTCAGCTGAAGAAGCTGAGATGAAGCCGCCAAGACTCGAGATAGACTTTGAGCCAATTAACCCAATCCTACATACATATGTGCAGGGTTTTCTCGCCACGCTGGCTTGTAATGCAGCCCTTGGCACATATAGTAGCACACACACGAGTTGCAAGTCAATAGTTTTGCTGACATTAAAAACATTTCACAAAGGGTAATTATTATATCATTTTTCAACGTATACAGCATAACAGCGACTTGTTTCTCCGTGGAGGTTGTGTGTTTCTGTGTTTTGCTTTTCTACTACTTTTCGAAAAACATCTTTTGAACGAAAGGGAAAAAAAAGTATAGTAAAACAAATTTATACGTCAGACCAAAGTTCCGCACATGCGTGATGCCCGACGACCTCAAGCCTTGGGCTGCTCAGCCTCATCGCTGGTCCTGGTGATTTTGCGAGCGTGCTCCTCGCCCGTGATGCTCTCATCACCCATATCCCAGTCCTGGGCCAGATCCTCGAGCGTCCTGCGCTTGGTTTCTGGGATAAGTAGGGTGGTGAAGATACCAGCAAACATGAAGGCAGAAAAGATCTGCATGACGTGGTTGAGCCACGGGCTGGGGTTGGCCTTTGTAGGGTGGCCTCGTGTTCGCAGCGGGGCAATGGCGCCCTGGGCGATGATGGAACCAATTTTTCCTGAGCCGGCGGAGATACCGTGGGAGGTAGAGCGGTAGCGCGTAGGGAAGCACTCTCCGGGAACAATGAAGGTGGTTGTGTTGGGTCCCCAGTTGAAGAAGAGCTGGATGAGGACGTAGATGGCAAGCATAGCGTGGTTGCTGAGGTGCTTGTAGGCGAAACCCTGGGATAATGTTAGCTGTGATGCTCTTTTTTTTGCAATTCATGTGTTCTTTGTGAACGTACCCAGATGACAAAGAGAATAGTGAGAAGAGTAAAGCCGATGAGTTGAAGGGGCTTGCGACCAACAGTGTCAATGGTTGCGACAGCCATCCAGTAACCTGGAATAGCACCGGCGCAGATAAGAATGGCATTACCAGCAGCAAGGTTGTAGAGCTTGTGGTACAAGTTTTCACCGCTGGCGTAGCCAATAGCCTGCAACACAGTCGAAGAGTTCAAACCGAGGCCATAAAAGGCGACATCAAGAAGGAGCCATGACATGGCAGTTCCAAAGAGAATCTTGCCGTTGCGAAGCTTTCCGTAGAACCTGAAGAAGTCCTTGAAAGAAGCCTTGGGAACCTCGAGCTGGGCAGCGGACTGACGGCGAGCAGTAACCTGAGTAATCTCATCGACGTTGCCCTCACCGTGCTTGCCAGAAAGATATTGCTTAGCATCCTCATTTGCCTTTTCGACATCACGAGCGACATCGAAGGTGTAGCGAGGCGTCTCTGGGATGGTGAGGCGGTAGTAGAGGGCAATGCAGGCAGGAACGATACCGAGACCGATGAGAGCACGCCACATCTGATCAACAGCGACCTGGCAGTCACCAGTGCAGGTGTCATATCCACTGGCCTTGACAAGCTTGCTCTTAAAGCCGGAAACGAGGCACAACATGACGAGAGCACCACCAAGCTGACCGAAACCCTGCATGGCGAAGACAGCACCCATCATAGCACCACGCCACTTGGTAGTAGCAAACTCGGAAGTAATAATGGAAGATAGCGGGTAGTCACCACCGATGCCTTGGTACCGGTTAGTAGTGAAGGATGAAAATTACACAAAAAAACGTACCGATGCCCATGAGCACACGCCAGAAGATGATGAGACCAACAACTGAAGTTCCTGGACCAGGACCAACCAGAGATTGTGCGAGAGTTGCAACAATGATGAGGATGAGCTCAAGACCATACATTTTCTTACGGCCAACGATATCAGCAAGCGCACCGAAGCCAACTTGTCCAATGACGGTGCCAGCCGAAGTAGCCAGCTTGATGGCAGTATCTTGCTGGGTCAAAAGAGTACCCTTGTGGTCCTGCTTGTAGACGATACCCAGCATGATGGTCAAGAGGGATACACAGAAAATGTCGTAACTGTCTGTGAAGAAACCAGTACCAGCGACCAGAATGGCGCGTACATGGTACCAGCCGAAGGGAGCCTTGTCGATCTCGGCGAGAGCAAGACGTCGGCGCTCATTTGGGTCTTCAATATGCTACTTCAGGTCAGTGTCTTGCTGGGAAAGGAGTTTGGCATATAGTAGTGGGTGTACGAACAGCAAAGTCACTGTGATGATTGTTAGTAAGAGAAGCATTTAAAAGGGGGAGGATATGCAGGAGGCGTACTTGTTGAAGTTGTGGAAGGCGGAATTTCCGCCAGCCGTCTTAGCAGCCATATTGAAGTCTTAGCAAGTGCTTATGCTGGCCTTGACGAAGCTTGGTACCGCAAAAGACGGGTGAGCAAGATGAGGGCTGCTTGCCAAAACAACCGGGCCAAGCCTTGTACTTATACCCAAGCTCTCTTGTGAGGATGCGCGGCATGCTTATGTTTTGAAGTGAGCACTAGACGGCAGCCAATCTCAGCGTCAGATTGAAGCACGCGCGGAAGGTTTGCCAAGAGGCCCTCGGGCATGCCGCTGCAAAAGGCGAGAGAAAACGCCATTATGCAAATCCAGGCCCTGGCATGGCACTCGGTGTCAGTGAATGGCGCAGCCGCTGAGGCGTTTGCTGGGATTCCTGTATCCTGGGAGTTGAGCCGGTGGGGTGAGGGCGTGTGGGCCATGGATGTTGTAGTCCATTCATTTCCCCACGTGGCCGCTAGTGAGGCTTGACCAGAACCCTTTCTCCAACCACGATGCCTTTGCCACAACATGGAGCGGAGGCTTATTTGCAGCCCAGGCCTGCGACAAGGAAGCTTCGGGCTATTGGCGTTTGCTTGAGACGTAGCCATGACATGCTTAGCATCCCGGATTGTCTAATAATGCGTGTTTCGTCAATGGCGCATCTCATCAATGCCAATCCCACCTTGTCCTTCTCGATCTACTGCACGGCTCTCTGATGCTGTAACAAGATCAATGACCCAGCCAAGCTCACTCTTTTGTGGATAAGGCAGTCTGGCCTCCTCAGGGTTGCCTGTGGGACTCGCATATCTAGCGGGTTAAGAAGTAATAACCTTTACTGCCCCACGTCCCGGTATGTTGGTCCCACGGGTCCGGCTATCGTCTCCTAATTGGATGCTGCCAAGATGTCCTTGGCAAGGTGGGCCGTCTGCGCCGGAGTATTCCTCCATCAGGGTAGCAGCGCGGCATCATGCTGCACTTCTCGAATGTCTGGCATGAAATGCTATTGGGGTTTGGAAAAGCATGATGGCCTTACGTACGCAGTAGCATGTTCCACAAATATCGTGCCCAATCACGCTGCAGCACGTGGGATCCAGCTGAGTTACCGATTGTCTGAATGTGCCGTAGTATCACACGACAGCTGACGGTATTGCCCATCACCCCTGTGGAAGCATGTCTTCCGAAGCTGCAATAGTCTAGCTCATGCAATCACACACCCGGGAACCAAGTTGATGGGCTTGGCACCTTTTTAGCTGCCGCCAATGAGCCGCTCAGAGTGTGGCCGTATCCAGGTATCGGTGTCTGATCGATGGGCTTTCCCCTCTCACTTCGTCGCCTCCAAATGCTCTTGAAAAATATTTCACCGTGGAAGCACCAGACTTTCGGCCTCCACCTTTTCGTCTTTATTCGTTGAAGATGTCTTAGTAAGGGAGAGCCTCCAAGTAGTCAGTATGTACGCTTATAAGTCCATTTTCTTTTTTACTGGTCAGCCCAGTGAGGGTCGAGAACATAGTGTTGTCTTCTTTTTCGATATGTTTCCCAAATAAACAGTCGTGTTTCATATGGGCCATGTTGACTCACATGTCTGCTCTTCGAGCCCAAAAGAGAAGAATATCGAACTCTTCTTTTGACAAAGTTCCTACAAACGCGTCATCCCCCCGCAAAGTTTAGCTTCTCAGTGTTCCGTTTCCCCGTGTCTCCGTTCCGAATCTCAATAACCCAGGCTGATGAGGCATTTATCGGAGCACAGGGTAGACGATTTTATCACTTGAGTGCAGCCGTATACAGAGCCTTCGAGCCCAAAGGCCACCCCTTTCGTGACATACCTCGGCGCTTCTGATGTTTCAAGAGCTTGCTCTGAGTATGTCGAGTGGGGGTGGTGGACTATTAGTGCGCCAGTTTGTAATCGAATCGCCTGTAATAGGTTTAGACAAGACGCGCAATGATCGAGATAACATCGGCTACCTCTATGATCACGATGAAATCAGATGGAGTGAAGTGAAGCGAAGTTTACCGGACTATCGAGAACGCTTGTTCTCTTTGTAAATTGGGCCGCATATGAGTTCTTGCCTTGATTCGCTGTGACGTACGCGACATTTGCGCTGAAGAGAAAAAGGAAATGGACTGATGCTAGTGTCGTTGATCAGGGTTGATTAACAAGCAGTGTGTGGCGTTATTGTGGCATGCGTGCAGCGTGCCTTCCCATCTGACCCCACCTTCCCAATCTAATGAGGCACCCGACTCTTTCACTTCCGAGTATGTCCGCTTCTTCATTCACCATTAATGCAAAGTATCACCCACATACAACGGTTTTAATTTTCAAAGTAAGAATCAAAACTTCACTCATCTTGACAATGAAGCTCTGCTGCTTGAGCACGAGCTGCCTAAGAAGCAAGACCTCGAACACTTTTGTCACTAACGGCAGTCCCATCTCGCTTACTCCCTTGCCAACATAACAACCTCGCCTTCCACCGAACTGTCACTACTAACATATACTCTTCCCAACCTATCCACAGCCAGGCCCACAGGTCGAAAACAGCTCGTCTTGGAACACGTATCCACACGCTCGTTCCACAAGACATCATCCCACGCCTTAGTAGCGTTACTCTTTCTTGTTGGACCAAAGCTTCCATTTACCTGCCCAAATGGCACCTGGATGACTTTGAATCCTACAGCTGGATCACGATTCCAACTCCCGTGAAGAGTGATGTACAGAGCAGAGAAGTCTGTGTTGAACTTTGCATCGAGCGGTGTCGAATGTGCAGGTAGCGCAACTTGAGGAGCTATACTGCGCTCTTTGCATGTGGTATCGGTGAAGGTAGCATTGGGCTCCAATACAAACTGGTCGCCCGCTGTAAAGTTTCCCCCGGGGATGGTTGAGGGAGAGAAGACAGTGAAGCAGGTAGGATAACCGTACCAGTCCCTATTTTCCCTGGATGAGTCGCCGATGTAGTTGAGCTCGTCGGCGGGGTTATCGTTGTGGATGTCGGTCGAGATACCGTTGATGGTGCGGTGCAGTTCGTCTGCAGAGTTTTCGACGCCCCAGAGGTGCGATGCTGCGTCAAAGGCGAGGCCGACTTCGTTACGAAGGCCGTAGCCAAGCTGAGTTCCAGAAGTGACATAGTCATAGCCATTGGGAGGTATGGCTGTCATGTTGAAGACTTTGATACAAGCGCGCCCGGTTTTGACATCAATGGAGCCATAGTCGATGTTGCCGTTTGAGCCATGCGAAACGAGTAATAGGTTTGGATATTTCGGTGGGATACTGAGAGACCGTGTGACGTGACCTTTGGTATCCATACCTGTTATCATAATCGTCGAGTTCCCTGATACACTCATTGTCGCTGCATCATATACCCAAGCAAAGACCGAGGTCGCAGAACTGGCATACAATATCTTACCGTCCTGGCTGAACACAATACCGTGATTGAGATCCCGCTGTGCGATTACCATCTTGGAAGGCTCCAGGCACCCATTTGCCAACATCCTATGCGCACTGATGCCAAGTCCATTTTGGACCACCAGGAGATTACCAGCACCATCGAAGGTGAGTCCTCGCGGTTGTGCCAGACCTCCCGCAACCTTTGTGGCTCTCCATCCTTTGGCGGCATTCACAGGAAATGCGAGATTGGGGACACCGCTGCAAGGTGTAGATATGTTGGTGCTTTGCCCGTATCCTGTATTTAGTTTAGATTTTGTAATAAGCTGGTGAGGTTGGATCGCATACCGATGCTTGGAAAGATTGCTAGCCCTAGTTTGAATATTTTCATGATAGATGACGGAATGTTCGCTTTTAGGACGTTAGTCTTTCGCAGGTAATTCTAGATATTTGTGAACTTCTATCTTTCGTGCGAATGGTTAACCGTATATCTGTCCTGTTCCTGGATTCGGTCGAAGATTCATGGGTGATAGTTACACTCAGCATGAGGGGCAGGGAAATGTGCACTATATCCACAGATCCTGCTTCATCTCATCCATATTATCCAGTGAAGTATTATTCCATCATCCCTTGTAGAGTGTAGAATGATATGCGGATCATGAATGTGGAGGTTGTGGGGCGGAAGGTGTTATGTCTGCCGAACATGTAGTTCGTTGCCGCAGCTGGGATATGTTTCCAAGAAGAAAGTAGTTCATTATTTTTTCTGTAAAGAAATAACATTCTCGAGGTTACGTCTCTTTCGAATGGTCATTCATCATGCCCTAAGTCATATCCCAGGACAAGTATCATAGTGACTCGGGTAGTGAGTCCCAGAGACGCCCCCACATTAACGATAGAGAACTCTGGATTATTGTGATCTAGAAAGTGGGAATTGTGACGAAAACGTAGTTGCCGGTATTCATATCGTGTACTATTGCAGGGTATTTGGCAAAATAGGTGATACATGGCTGGTTAAATGAAGCAGCAACTTTAGCCTTGGGAAATGAGTGGTATCTGGGTGATGAGAACAGCCGTTTCGCTGTAGACGTATGGTTTCATACTGCCAAGTTGATTGTGATCCAAAAGGCGAGGATCATTATTACTCCAGTGGGGCAATTGTGGAAGGCGAGTGTCGTAACGTGGGCAAAGATATCCATGTAGTATCCTTATCGTGTACACGTGACCTGTTAAAAGTATCTTTCCTCATGCATACATCAGAGCAATGATAGAGCTTTCTCGTTGTCACAGTCAATCATAAACGATCACCAACGCAATCTCATACGCTTTACCACGTCAGTCCTCAATAGGAAGTTGCTGAGAGCGAGTCAGAGACGATAAGCAATGGATGGATTGCGGCATGGGCTGTCTCCGCTTCCCCACGTTCTCCGCACTCTAGATACCGAGGCTTGAATCCCTCGACGCCACCAAGCTTGACTCTGTACATACCACGCGAACATGTCGCACTGCGAACGTCTCGTTGTCGAGCTCTTTGATTGTTCTTAGAAGCTGTCTCTGGATTACGGAGTAGTCCTACAGCCTCATTCTTATCGGCCTACCTGGCCATCTCCCACAATGGCACTGGGTCCTTACACCAACCTCCGCGTCGAACGCTACGACAGCGTTTTCGTCATTGCGCTCGCCAAAGCACCCGAAAACCGCATCAATGTTGCTTTTGCGCAAGAAATAATACGCGCGCTACGTGATATCGAGAGCGAGCTTGGGCCCGACGCAGAAGGCTGTGTCATTACAAAGGGTGCGGACGAAAAGTTTTGGTGCACAGGTCTAGATCTGGACGAGAACGAGGCGAATCCGCATGCTAATACCGACGGCTTCTTCCCGCTACTAGCTACGCTACTCGACTATCCGTTCCCGACCATCGCACTGATCACAGGGCACACATTTGGCGGCGCATGCCCATTGGCATTGGCACATGATTATCGCATCATGAACTCGCAGCGCGGCTTCTTTTCTATGCCGCCAGTCAACCTAGGACTGCATTTCCCAGGCATTGGGTTCCTACCAAGGCTGAAACTCAGCCCGCAGGTTGCGCGCAAGATGCTGCTCGAGGCACATCGATGGACGGGCAAAGAAGCATACAAGGATGGCATAGTGGATGAAATTGCAGAACCAAAGGACATGCTGGACATCGCATTGGCGAAGGCGAGAGAGATACAAGGTCGCGCCAAAATGGGCGTATACAGTCTGCTGAGAAATGAATTGTGGGGCGAGGCTGCTGAGAAGATTAGGAGTATCTGTTATATACATGGGAGGAGAGTGACGCCGCCTGCAAAGGCAAAGATCTGACTTAGTACCCGTTGATACCTGCGCACGTCAGATATAAAGTCCATAGCCAATCAAAAGCACGGGGATTAAGCACGGTTTTGGCAAGTAAACATTCGTAAATGGTACTTAGTCTTATGTATTCTCATGACAATATGTACAGTTGAAAGTTCAAAATCTACATAGATACACCGGAAAGTTTAGGCCGGGCGACAGGTTTTCTAACCCTCAGCCACAAAATCCTTTCCTAGTAAGTAGGCTCAAGAGGAGGGTCGGCGTTCTTGACGAGCATCTGAACGTAGTCGTCGAACCAAGCACCAGCAACAGGCGCACCAGCCAGACCGCAGGCTCCGTCACTCTCACCACCAGGCTTGATCCAGACGATTGAGTCGACGTTGGTGTTGTTTGGTGCAGCTCCAGGGCGCAGTCCAAAGCCAGCAGGCGAAACATTGCACCACTCGCCCCACTCCTTGCGAGCACCGGGGAGGGCAACACGGCCCTGGTCGATGATGAAGTTGGTTGGCATGCCCTCAGCTGCCATTGCCGCTCCAAGAGAGGTAGCGTAGTGGCTCTCATCCCACGATGGAGACCATTCGGTGTAGTTCTCGCGGACCTTGGCGTTGAACGGGTTGTAGTTGGATACGTTGGTAGAGTAACCACGGATCTTGGCCGCTGGGTTAATCTTCTTGGCCGCTGCGACAACTCTGGCGAAAATCTGGGCCGTGGGTTTCAGGTTGTCGGCCCATCCAAGCCAGCCTCCGTGGGCAGCATCCATGTATAGAGATACATTGGGGAACTGTAGCTTGGCAATGGCGTAAGCGATACCTTGCTCATAGATGGGGGTGGCGTTGGCGCAGAAAGGAACACCTTGGTTGGTGACGGCGTTACCGAGCGAGTCGGGCTCGAGGACAATGGCAAAGTCGAGATCCTTGGCCTCAGATACGAGCTGTGCGTACTTGTCGACGAATTCGTGCTTGTAGATGTTCAGGCCGTCTTTGGCGGAGCTGAGCTCTCCGGCAGACTCTCCAGCAGAGCAGTCACGGTCGGGGAGATTGTACAGGACAAGGCCGACAATCATCCTCTTTCGGCCCTTTCGTTGACGGCGGGCTTGCTGGATGGCTTCGGGGATCTGGCTAAGTCCAGCCCGCGATGTAACCCATACGAAGGTGGATGTCTTTTTGGCAACAGTGCGGGTTCGTGCTGCGTTCAGGGAATCGTTCTTTGAGAGGAAGGAAGCAATTGTTTGGTCGAGCTTCTTGCCGTAGCTCTCAACTACATAGCGGTCCTTGCCAGTCCATGGGTTGACAGTGGTGTTGCTGGGCTCTGGTTTGGGGAATGCGGTGGCGGCGCCAGCAAGGGCGGCAGTGGCCAAAACGAACTGTGTGACTTGAACCATGATTGATGAGAGCTTGAGAACAGATGGAAGACTCCTGTGTGTTTGCTGAGGAGTACAACGGATAGGTATCTCAAGCCTTTTATAGATTTAGTGATGAAATTTGGCGAGTTGCGCGTAACATGCATGTTGTCATGTGCTCCATCTCCAGATGTTTCCCTTAGTACAGACACTTACATTCAGGTGGCGGACTTGACGTTTGATAGCCGGTACCGTCGGGCCGCAATATGGAGGGCATTATTCCTGAATAGGTCCAAGCCTTGGTGTGAGTGAAGGCCTAGCTTTCGCGCTGTGACAGTCTAACGCTGCTAGTGCGCTTCATCACCTGGGAACACCTTTTAGCGAGAGTAGGGAATGGTTGTTTGCCCCGGAGCAGAACGTTTTCCCGCTATGGCATATTAGCCAAGATGGTATCGACCAGGGTAGAGTGCAGACATGCAGACCCGTAATATATTGCGCGGTTTACCCGGCCTGCTACACCACCTTCCGGTAACCCAACCACGTGGTTCTTTATAGATGTAATCATGAAATGGGCTTGCAGATTGGTCAATACTGTCAAACTAACATAGTTCATATTGTTCGGAGAGTGCTGCGCAGCTCTTGGGTCATTCCATTCTGCAGGCGACCATTGAAATGCAATGTAGAGAAGATTCGGTGCAGATTCTAGTGCATCAATGAGCGGCTGTACCCTGAGGCTGAGTTGGAGTGAGATGGCGCTATGCATGCGATGCAGGTACACCAAAGCCTGTTCGGACAAAAAAACACAAGGAGGCGACATCTTGCATAGCAGATCTACTAGGTGGGATATTCGAAAGACATGCGCCATACGAGCACACAAGCCCTTATCTCATTCACCTCCGCGTCCGAGATTTGCTCTGCGTATGGATGTATATGCATTATAGTATATCACGGCCTGCGATGCAAACCTCTCATAATACTTCTCGGAGGGCAACAAAGACCGTTCCGCAGCGGGTTGGTTCCGACAAAGCAATGAAAACTTTCATTGGTCCTCGTACCGCCACAGAACGGCAGCGTTGCAGGGCAACGGTGATACAAAGAAAAGATGATTGCATCGCCCCACCGTTGCAAAAAAGTGGGGAACCCCCATTCAGGACCGGTCAGAATCACGCTATTGACGAAAGAGGTGTCGGAGCGACTGTCTGGTGTCTTGGCTTAATATCGGGCGGTTTACGGGGCCCGCTTTCTCGTCGCCCTTGTGAATAGCTGTCTCATGTTTCCTTGGGGTGGCCAGCATTTCAGGAACATCATAATCAACCTTCCCCGCTGCGGTACAACATTGAATCTGTGAAACAAATCATGCCGTTCATTTGGGGCCATAAGAACCATAAATTCTTTTTCAATAAAATTACCTGGCACCCAACCTTTCGAGAGCCAAGTCAGACTCTAGAGTCTTGGAAAACTGGTGCCATGGCTTATCATAAAAGAATTTCATTTCGAAAACCACCAGCGATCATATCGAAACTCATATTGCAAAGTTGAATTTGGCGTCACAACCATGAAAGCAGGAAATCTTCTCGATTTTACCGGAGCAAGACGATCCGTCCAAGGTACTCTCTGCCTGGGTATTCTTGGGAGAACTACTGTTCCGAGATACCCATTAAAGCCTTGCACGCCAATATACCCCTAATCATGATGTAGGAATGATCTGCTGAATTTCAGTAAGTCATAACCAATATAGCTAGGTACGAGAAATCTTGCGTGGAGTGTAGGAGATGTGCGCATGTACTCAGCTGCTGATGGGTACTACTGAGTGTAAGCGTAAAACACCAATACGAATACTATCGCTCACATGTTTACTACTACCATGAAAGGCTCGCGAATTGATACATCTTAGTCACTCAACTGCCTGTAAAGTGAGTAGTCAGAAAGGCGATCCCCAGATTGATACCTTTCCCTGATGATGGAACGAGAGCTACTCCCATTACAGAGCATGAAAATACTATTCGTGTTAGGTCGCAACGTATTTCGTAAATATTGTAGCCCGTCATAAAGTCTAACGATGTTCCTCTGTTTGCTCATCCTCTGGAGTTCCTGGCATCCGTGTGTCGCCATTGTTCAAACGTCGCCGCTGGAACGATCAGAATTAATAACTCAGATTGCCATATTATCACAGTAATTATGGTCAGTCACATGTCCTCACGCCAGGTCATCTGCCTGAGTAGAGTTAGACTAGTAAGCAAACGTTCAATAGTGACGCATCCTTCCCTAGAAAACAAGTCGAACATCAAAGGGCTCGGCCGAGCGCCACCGGCAGGTAGTACTAGCGTCGGTGGTTTAATTCCCCGCAAAGTATATCCGAGGGGTGAACACCACTCACACTGCAACATCGTCAGCCCCTTAAGACTAGCCAAGCACTCACTCACTACTTCCAGCGTCCGTTTCTGACTCGAATACCAAGCATGAGTACTGAGCCGCAGCCGGCGCGTTTTGTGCACCCCAGCAGACGAAGGGACAAGCCCATCTTGAGCTGTACTCTTTGTCGACGACGCAAGTGAGTGCTTCGGAATTTCGGAACTAATGCATATAGCTATGTGGACCTAAACTAACATATTGGAGATTGAAATGCGATCGTCGACAGCCGTGCAAGACTTGTGTCGATCGTGGGCTTTCACTGTCATGCACATATGTGCGTGATACGCCAACACCAAAAGAACCCAAAACACCAAACAGTGTGCATGATCGTATCAATCAGCTCGAGAAGCTTGTCACCAATCTCATGAGCGGCAAAGATGCCACCCACGCCTCACCCACTCCAAGCCATACACAGCAGCAGCATGACTATAGCTCCCACGAGATACCAGGGACTCCGGACCGTGTCAAGTTCAATGACGAAACTACGAGTTACACAAATAGCGAACACTGGACAAGTATTCTCGATGGGGTGAGGATCTTTCTATGTGACCGTATTCCCTTCGCTGAGCATGTCCCAGATTTCGGAATTGCGTGAGCATCTCGATCATATCCCCACATCATCTGATGCAAGACGTGATGAATTAGAAGAAGAGTCTCGCCCAGAAATCCTATTTGGACGGCAAAGGTTTGCAACTAAAGAAGATCTACTGGCAGCAATGCCGCCAAAGGTGGAGACAGATCAATTAATTGAGACCTTCTTTTCAACATTGGAGACCCATGCAAGTAAGTCTGCAGCTGTCAAGAAAATAAATCAATGCACTAATCAAATAAGATTTTCTGCACAAGCCGACATTTGTCAAGCAAGTGAGTCTCGCGTCGTGAACGTATCTGCTTGTCGAGCCGAAAATTAACCTTGTTTAGTACGAAGATTTCTGGCTGAATCCATTTGAAACACCAACCATGTGGGTGGGACTTCTGTACGCTATCCTTGCCACTGGGGCTCGATTCCAAGCGAATTTCGATGGGCACATGTCAAACAGCGTTGGCATGGGGCCTAATTATACCCAGAGCATATATTCGGCACGCACAAACTTCTATCGCGAGAAAGCCGTACAGTGTATGATCCTTGCCAACTATACGAAATGCCCGCCAGCGACCATTGAGACATTTATACTTTACTGTGGCAGCGAGTTCTCACGCTCTGCCGATGCTCAGTTCAGCTCATACATGGTCGTCGGCATGCTCATAAGACTAGCGTTTCGTATGGGGCTACATAGGGATCCGTCAAGGTTTCCCAATATCTCACCTTTCGAAGGCGAAATGCGACGACGCAAGTGGATTTCAATAATGTCCCTTGATCTAATTACATCAGCACAGGTGGGGTTGCCACGAATGATCCAGCCGTATATGTACGACACCCAAGAGCCTCGGAACCTAAATCAGGACGATATCCAAGAGGACATGACGGAACTACCACCCTCAAGATCAGAATCAGAACTCACACAGCTTCTCTATTTCATTCTTTTGATCAGAATTCGAAAGATCCAGGCGCAGATCCTGGACTTGATACAAGCCACATCGCAGCCACCATACCAGGCTATAATCGACATCGATACAGCGCTGAGATCTGTCTACGGCCAAATCCCCAAGAGCCTCGAAATCAGGAATCTAGGCCAAGCTAGTGAACATTTAAGGCCGAGCTTGATGCGTTGTACTTACTTGGAATTGGCTTATCTGAAGGCTCAAGTGATGCTGCATCGTCCGTATCTCAAGCTTGGAAGAGTCGATAAGCATTACGAATACTCACGGAAGGTCTGTCTTAATGCAGCAATGGAATTGCTCTCATTCCAAAATAAGCTAGACGCGGACATTCAGCCTGGGGAGGAGCATGTCCTAGTTGTAAGAAACTCACTTCCGCAATTTGTGTAAAATGACACTGACTCGTTATGTTCAATGGAAAAGTTCCGCATCAGCGCCGTGATCAAAATTATGGCTTCTATAATTACTCAGGACTTTCTCCTCGCTACTAGTGTGTTAGTCCTTGACCTCGATGAGGACTTGGTTTCCCCTTTGCCCATCGTTGCCGATAGGAGGGTGACGGGAGTGTCCCAGTTGCAAGTAGGGATGCCAACACGCGAAGAGATTATAGCATCGCTGCGTTCCGCGTACCGCATCTGGTTAAAGAAAAGCAAAAGATCTCAAGAGGCAAAAAAGGTTGCGGCTGCAGTGAAACTAGTGCTTTCCAAAGTAGGGGAGCACGGGGAGCACGACGACCACACGCACAGCCCCCCGCATTGTAAGTTTTTGTATGAGGGTGAGTTGACTATCACGAGCTGACGTTTTCAAGCCGTGGATGCTACAACAGTAGAAAACAGCGGTGTCTACCCATCACCGAACATTGTGTTTAAAGAGCAGATGCCACCACGTCATGTGCCAAACACATTCCCAGCTGGATACGACAGCTACAGCCACTCCCTTCTTTATAGTCAGATGCCCATGGACCTTGACAGCCTGAACATCCCTCTTGATTGGGTGAGTACGAATTGGTGTGGAACGGGCTTTGAGCTAACCAATGCTTAGGAAGGTATGATGTCACATCTTGATGTCCAGCAGTACAATGATGCTCAATAATGGTGCTTCCAATAATGCAGACTATCGCAATAATTTTCTCACTTACGCGATAAGGCTTTCGCTTGCTCAATCTGATTCTACATTTGTTAGAAGGCAGCATGTAATAGACTCGTATTTTGTAGGCGATGCGAGCGGTGTCGTAAAGCAGCCGCAATGATGGCCGCGGCATTTTGGCTCGCCATAGGTGATCATCCGTCACTTGAAACATGCATTGTTTCGCCACAATCTGCGATCTCGCGGAGAACAAAACTCTGCTAACCACCATTGCGGATCAGTTTACATCCGTATGAGAATGCGGGTTGTTTCGAGAGAGGCTCAACAACTCGGGTTCACGAGCTTGGGACATGTGGTAATCACTGCTGGTCTCACCAGCGCAACACTATACCCAGATTCGTCACCGCACGAAGTACCGACGATCGCCCATAATGCCTGCGTCGTATTTGGATCGAGATTCCGAAAATCAGGACGCGAAAGCAACCAGATGCGGGATGGCGGATCCCTTGCTTGTAGGTAGAATACCATGCCGCCGATCCACACATCGGTCATGCAATCCCGCAGCCCGCAACAACTCAACTGCGGTTATCCATGTACTTCAAACATGAGAATGATGATTTGCCGGCAACGCAGCTGCTACGTCATATCCACTGTTTATTGGGTCGATTGTACATAGGTTGTCATTCTGGATCAAATCGCATTGTATTCGCTATGGGCCGTTGCTCACTCTCTTCTGCTACTGTCAGCATATCCCATCATTTATTATACTACTAGCGCTTCTCGAGCAAGATGATGACACAAATGGAAATTATGCAGGAGCTTGATGGGATCCGGTATTCCAAAGAGGTGCCATGTATCGAGCCTGATCTGGGAGATCTGCGAAAGTCGACTGACAAAGCCCTGCCGGGACTACCGAAAACACCAAAGAGGGTCTTGAAGAAGTACCGGTTTTCTGCAGTGTTTCCCATGGTGCTTGCGATTGCGAGTTTCGTTCTGACCCTGACATTGGTTCTGGCGGGGCAGGACGCACATACCTTTGGCGGGCAATATTTGGCAGCAGTAAGTTATGACCGGCAATATCAGTTGATATACGGGCTCACAGCTGCAGCTATACATTCCTAGCGCGAGCCAGGTCCCAGTATACCAAGATGTGGAAGCTTTCGAGTCGTCTTCAGCCACGGACACGACGGAAACGGGAAACGTTTACTACCTCTACTTGCATAAAGTCTGCTATTATTCTCTCGCCCACGGTAGCGAAGCCACTTCTGATATCTTTGAGAGGACATGTACGAGCTATGCCACAGTAGCTGCAGGTGCGCGAACATTCTTTCCAGATATTTGATCGTATTCGCTGATGAGGTCACTCAGAATTAGCAATGTCGGCCTCTTCAAGCGATGCATCAACCGCAAACTCCGAATCCATGAGTTTAGGGAGTAGATCACTTACGATGGTCTCGACCACTTTGGTTAGCGTGCGAATAGCTGTTTTTGCATCACTCGTTATCTCGCTTGTTGGGTCCCTTTTGTCTACGATATTGGCCATTCCAGGGATCATCTATCCACACTCTCGGATCCTGGCATATATGAATATCATGTGGCCACTTCTTGCAAGCACATTTGGTTTCCTCGCGGCCGCCCTGCTTACCATTGTGATAGCTGGAGTGTTTGCAGCGGTCGACGGGGTCGTTAATGAGGTTGGTGTCGAGGTCTGGCAGGGAGGATCAGCGTTGTTTCTCGCATGGTTAGCATGGGTCCTCATCTCGCTGTCTGTTGTTTATTGGGGGCTTGTGTGGTTTGTGGAGGTGAGGAGATGGGGTTTTGCAAGGAGAAAAAGGAGTGAGGAAGAAGTGGGGAATTGGAAAGGGATAGGGCGAGAGGTCTGGTCCGATCTCAAGACAGAAGAGCCATATCATTGATTAACGAATTAGAAAACACAGACACAATTGTAAACCTCAACCACGCAACACCTTTGCAAAGTCTGGATCTGGGTCTGGTCGCCATAGGTATACAACTGTTCACATACTGGAGGCGGACACGTGACCGAGGTCTGGAAGAAGGGATACAGGTTCCTGCGCTAGTGGGTGGGTGGCGGAGGGCGGAGTGGATATCATCAGCCAACCATGGGGCGATATGGGCCCACCGCCTCAAGCGCCAAGGCCCAGGGTCCTCCATATGTACTCCACAAACTAAACTTCCAGCTCAACCCCTCCGCTCCCTACACTTAATCTGCAATTGTCTCTGACAGCTGCAACCATGCGGTCCTCAGTCTCTGCCGCCACCGTGCCCTCAAAGAGCCCTGCGCCTCGTGGCTTTACCGTCAAGGCTGACGAGCAGCAAGAACCGACATTCGAGAACGAACATGACCACTTCTTCTGGACGTACACCGAGGAGCCGCATAGGACGCGCCGAATGGCCATTATCAAAGCCCACCCAGAGGTACTGCTGTTTGCTGGTATTATCATCGAATCTCCTGACTAATTTGTGCATAGGTAACCAAGCTCTGTGGCCCCGAGCCGCTCACCAAATACGTTGTCCTGCTGGTCGTGTCGATACAAGTCGCCTGCGCATACCTCCTCCGCAACACGCCTGTGCTATCATGGCCCTTCTTCCTCACAGCATACGTCGTCGGTGCCACGGCCAACCAGAACCTCTTCCTTGCTATCCACGAGATATCGCACAACCTAGCCTTTCGATCGCCACAGGCAAACCGACTGTTTGCAGTCTTTGCGAACCTACCAATTGGCATCCCATACAGTGCCTCGTTCAGGCCCTACCATCTCACCCACCACAAATCACTGGGTGTCAATGGCCTTGATACCGATCTGCCAACCGCTTTCGAAGCCATCTTTCTTGACTCGGTTGCCGGAAAGGCCTTCTTCGCGACCTTCCAGATCCTTTTCTACGCCCTACGACCCATGTTCGTATACAGCTTGCCAATGACCAAGATCCACCTCTTCAATGTTGTTGTACAGTTGGCCTTTGACTACCTCTTGGTACAATACGCTGGTGGAAGGGCATTGGGCTACCTCATCATGAGCAGCTTCCTTGCTGGATCCCTGCACCCTTGCGCAGGCCACTTCATTGCCGAGCACTACGTTTTCGAGAAGCCCAACAAGGATGCTGCGAATCCCGCCAACAAGATTCCGCTCCCTGAAACGTACTCATACTACGGGCCTCTCAACATGTTGACTTATAACGTTGGTCTTCACAACGAGCACCACGATTTTCCTGCCATCCCATGGACCCGCTTACACGCTCTCAACAGGATTGCGCACGACTTTTACAAGGATCTGCCCCAGCACAAAAGCTGGGTATACGTGCTTTGGCAGTTCATCTGGGACAAGGACATCAGCCTGTGGTGCAGAGTTAAGAGAGAAGAGGGCGGAAGAAAGGTTGGTGGCGGAGGTGGATGGAACGAAGAGGAGTTGGGCTCAAACGAGAAGAAGGGGCCTATCCCCGGTGTGTTGTAATTATTGGTGCACTGTTTGCATAACTGGCGTTTTGATCGGCTTGGTGTTCTAGATTACATGAAAAATAGAAGTCGGTTCCGTTGAACTCTTTCCCTATACAATATTATCCGACTGTAAGACACTATGTAGTACTTACGATGGAGTCTATTTCCCCCCTGATCTCATTACATACTCTTTTTTTAAAAAAAAGAAATGGATGAATATTAGCATACGGATACACAACTTCCAATATTGCATATTGAATAGAATAAACATACACTTCACAACTGGGCTTGACGTTTTCAAGCTACAATGTATTCGGAAATTCCACTCCACTAGTCGATTTGTCCTGCCCAAGACAGAGCTGTTTCTGACTCCCGAATAGTGATAGACCAATGACGTGATCTGAGGTTTCACTATCAATTGCTGCTGCTGTTACTGCTGCTGTTATCGGTATTCTTGCCGCATGAACAAGAGAGAATGGCACATGATTTGTTGGGCTTCACTCCAACACTTCAGCTGACAAATGAGTCGTTGTCAGATAGCCAATAAGCGAAGACAGTACGTTTCAATTAGTATACTTGAAGTGAATTGAGAGAAAGGCTGCCTTTCTCCATCTTTGGTGAGAAAAATATGGGCGGTGAGCTACTTTTGTGACTGTCTTGCTTGTTTTGTATTGATATATCAGGATATTTCACGACACACTGCTCAAAACTCAACTCAAGACACTGACAAACTTCAACACCGACAATCCATATATATCATCCTCTCTAACTACAATTGACTTGGCTCATATTCCAATGCCATACCCCAAAGTCTCAGTCACCACCGTTTTGTTTTCACTTGGTCTGCGTCGAGTCTGGCCCGTGCTGGCCGTCCGTTTGCCTCTCACATGGAGTACGCGCTGCAGCCTTAAAACTCATCTTCACTATGAAGAAAAAACCGATCCGTCTTCACCTTTCACTGCGGTGACTCAGTCTTGGCGGCAATTGCTCCACAGATATAATATCGCTCTCCGGCTCCTCTCCCACCCCTTTTCTACTACGCCGTCAGTCGAACCTCATCCGGACGCCAACAGCAGCAACAGCAACAACAACAACAAAAACAACCTCCTCTCCCAGGATGACAGAACCAACCAATACTGACAGACCTCCCAGATATAGATCTACTCCCCCATCCCCGCCCACAGAGATCGTGACGCTTTCGTCACCCGCAGCTCCTGGCTCCGTCTCCGACTTCGAGGACATCTTCAAGATGTCTCCCCTCAACACCGATGCAGAGACGGAGACCGACATCAACGCCGCTCTCTTGACAATGTCGTTCGAGGTCCCATTGGGACCTCTGTCCGGCTACGGCAGCGCTCCCAAGTCAGTCACTTACTCCACTCACTTTCATATTGAGATATCCGCTAACCATTATTTTCGTGTGTCTGCCAAACAGACCAGCTCCCAAGTACAAGAAGCCAGCTGCTAAGCTGACCAAGTCCATCAGTGAGCAGCCCGACTACGCGTACTTGTTCAAGGGCTATGACGCAGATGCTCTGGTCCTCACGGACCAGCAAATCAACAGCCCTGGTCAGGCTGTTGATGGCAAGCAGCATCATGCTGAGCTCTTGGGTCAATCTCCCCTTTACGGGGAGACTGACTCTGATAACGGTGACCCGTTCATCTACGACCGCATCACCTTCCTTCCCTCCTCCTCCTACCACAACACTCTCGACGAGGACGTCCCCCCCTCTGTCAACAATTCCTTCGGGTACGGAAGTACCTTCAACTCCGAACCTCCTTCTTCCCCATCTTCAGCTGCCAACGGGCTCGACTCCGGCGACGAGGCTGATTCTGAAGACAACAATGATGACGATAACGATTCTCACGACTCTAACGATGACGCCGACGACGACGACAACGATCCCAGCGATGCCGATGACGATAACGATAATGAAGACAAAGAGGGGGAAGAGGAGCAAAACAACGACTTCTACAACCCCGAGGACTACTTCACCGACAAGAACAACTACAACTACTCCGACGACAACGAATCCGGAGACTCCCCCTCCCGTTGCAGCAACCTCTCCACGCACCCCTTACTCCGCCCTCCTCCCATCTACGCCATCGCACCGGAGTTGATGTATCAAATACCTCCTACAGCACCAACGATGCTGCCTCCTGCGCCGCCCCCCACACCTCTCGCTCTACCATCCAACGCACCACCCATCATCATTCCATTCATCATTCCGCCCAACATCCAATTCAACAACCCGCGCTCCTCCGATCTCGAAACCCTCGAGACCCCGAACCGCACCGTCTGAGGGAGCCGCCGGCGTGGATTCTTACTTTGATGTTGGTGTTGAGAACATTACTACTGATCGCAATAACTTGCTTCGTGTGTGCTGGACCATGCGCGGAGAAGTTTTGGATTTTTTGGCCCACCCGTTTTCGAGTTCGCGTGATGAGTTGGATGATGAGGTTTGAGGGTTCTTTTGGCGTTATGGCAAAGTGGTTGTATATTACTGGGATGGAGTTTATGGGGATTGTGTACGAGTATTGAGGTACTAGGGAGGTTTTTTCCACTGGTGTGGAAGTATTGCAACTTTTAATGACTGGCGCTTTGCGGAGATTATGGTCGGGATGTTGCATCGGCTTAGATATCTTGACTCTGTACTATGCTTTATCAAGGAATACAACTGGTGATGGTGGAAAAATGTGCTTTGTTTGATTGTGATGGCTTTTGACTAGTGTGAGGTTGATAGTGCAGTGGCTTCATGCTACATCACACATGTGTTTGTTGTTTTATTGGCATCACTCTCTGCAAGTCTAATATCACTTTATCATATTCTACTGCATCAAGCCTACGCGACGCACCAACATCATTTATCCCAGAAGACTCAACCGCTCAAACGACTTCACGACAGGCGCCTCGCGCTTCTTTCCCACCTCCTGCAGACTATCCCACAACGTTGCATCACCACCAGTCGGCTTCAGAACTTCAGCTTCAGTTTCAGCAGCAACACCATTCTCAACAGGTGCCGTTTCAGTCGCGGGTGGGTACATCTCCTTGACAGCGTCCTGGCATCTCCCCATCACTTCACTGACAGCATTCGACACTGCGTCCGCGCGCTCTCTCATACCGCGCCTGACGAGACCCTCGACAAGACGCTGAATCTCGTCTTGCATGCTGTTGATACGCTCAATCAGACGTTCGATAGAGTTTGTAAGATACTCTTCCTCGTATACGGTGCCCTTCTTGCCGCGAGCACGCTTCCTCTCCTCGCGACGCTTGTTCTTACTTGTCTTACGCGTAGTCGTTGTGTTGACCGTACCGGTTTGATTCGTGTACCTCGTCATGAACGTTCCGCCAGATGTAGTATCGGTTGGAGCGAGGGAGATATTGTCGGGGATATTGGCGTCGGCACCGCCGTCCATCATGCCCTCGTAGAAAGCCATTGGATCTTCTGCCTTCTTAGTCCTCAGTTCCTTGAGTCGAGGCACCTGTGCTTGCAGTTGGCCCTTCATATCAGCTAGGAATTCCGTCATGTCTGCACTGCGCTCCACAAGGCTGGGATCGATGACTTCGGTAATGAGATTGGGTTCGCGGCGTAGTGTGACTAGGCGGATGGCTTCAGCAAAGTAGCAGCCACGGCAGAATAGTCGAGCTGCAGAGGAAAGATCCAACAGATAATCCAATGTAATAGTTGCTGCGGAGAGATAGTCCTTTGATTCCGACAAGCCTTCCGCCATGTCTGTTGCAATGGATGAGAGCTCTTCAGCACTGACTTCAGCCAGCACCGCGCTTGATAGCGCTTCGCGCCAAAGGTTGGCGGAGCGGTAGCATGGCCATGCGGACGAATAGTCACCTAGGTATTCATATGCTATTGCAGCTTCCTTGTTCTTGTTGTTCGCACTCAAGAAGTCTGCATACATGCGCATGGTCTCTCGGAGACGGGCGTTGTCGTATTGGTACATACTCAATGCTTGCGAGTAAAGATCATGCTTTTGCACGTATTCTCGCACCTCTCCGAACTCTTGGAGATCATTAAGATGTTTGAGTGCCTTTATTCGGCGTCCGAGTTGATCATCGATTCTGAACTTTCTGCGTATCTCGGGCAGGTCTTGCAGGGATTGCAGATGTGGAAGATATTCTCGAGGATCCTGCCATAGTTAGAATTATGCCAAAACAGGAGAAGGTAATTCTGGTTACCTTTTGTGACTGCTGAGCGATGAGCAATGCAAGCTCGAGGTTGTACAAGCCTAATGATGTATCATAGAGCTGATTGACATCGGCAAGGAAACAGATATGCTCAGCGGCTTTGTCTGTTAAAGGATCATTCGATTCTGAACTGCGTTAGTCATCGTCAGAAAAGTAATTCAAATCAAGTACCTTGAAGACGTCCTATCATCCGGAGTCCTGTCTCGAGTGCTGGAGGCGTCTTGGAAACATGGGCTGTGATGATATTTTGCAGATGAGCATCTTTGTATTGGGGCTGTTCCAATACTGCAAGGAACGCATCACAAATTCGGTTGACCTTTTTCTCCACTTGCTCCTGCGAAAGCCTCGATTTCGCTGCCAGATCCTTTGTTTTAAGAGTTTCCTTGTACATGGTTTCGGAGACATCCTCATTCCTAATAGTATTAATCATCAGGGCCTTGCAAGATTATAGCTCTACATACCGAAGCTGAGCTAAGAGCAGGTCAATGTGCTCGACCTTTTTAATCTGCGTAATGATCTTCTCAAGACTTGCAAGAAAGCGCTCAGGGTCATGGTCGTGGAGGATGTTCAAGTCCACGCGCTGGCTGCGGCATGCGAAGAATGCTTCGTCGTAACGCTCTGCTTCGATGTTCCGCCGTATCGCAGCAAGGACAAGCGCTCGGGGGTATATTGTCTCTAGGTTTCCCCTAGGCATCTGGAGTATGACTGAGTAGGTTGTGGGGATGACGGTAATGATCTTCGCGCCTCTCTCGATGCTTCTGCATCTCTCGTCCTTTTGCGGCTCATCTGCAGGCACCTCAAGATCTGAAGAAGTCAATATAGAATCAAGGTTCGTATGCATATCAAATATTACCATCTACATTGGCGAGGTGAACGAATTTCAGGAGGTGTTGAGTCGTTGTGAAAATAAGATGTGCAGGCGTGACCACGAAAGATGTGCAATTGCGGGCCAATATTCGCTCGTTGGCAAATAGGGCTCCGCTCTTGGTCAACCCAAAAGTCAATGTCTGCAGAATTTAGTCATTGATTTCACTGAATTGTGGGTAATTTGCGCACCTGTCTTTCAAAATTGACTACCTGAACTTCAGGTGCAAATGCAGGAAACTTGTTTACAAGTGATGTCTGAGGAGGCAAATCTGCCGCCATTTCATCTGCATTGATCTCATGTAATGCACCATTCTGAAGCAAGGTGTAGAGTGCGTCATGGTCTATGCTGGATAGCAAAGCAGAAGCGCCATCAGCTTCCATGATAGGCCCCTGAGGTAATAGTGTCTCCCCTTCAGATCGCCAAAGGGAACTTTCGTCTTCTTCCCAGCTGTCTGTTAGCACAAATATTTGATCGTTACCAACAAATGAAATGTGGCGTGGACAGCGGCCGGAGACCGCGTCGCTTTTCCAGAGGAAGACAGGCTTCGGTACTGGTCGCTTGTTGAGGTCAAGCGCATATACTGATAGATCATGCTGCGAAAGTACAGCCAAACGAGTGCCTGATTTTGACAACGCAACATCGACGGTTTTGGACTCGAGTGACAAACTGTAAAATGCCATTGGAGGAGGAACATTTGCAATACGCAGTGGGGTGAGCTTCAGGACCACTGATCGATGTCAATCACAAAGCTGTAGATATATGTGAGTTGGATTACTTACATCCATCTATCGATGCAACCATGCCGAAATCATTTGGCGGTACAACTGAGCCAGTCGAGGTCGTGGATGCATACTCGAGCACCTCAAGAGCACCTATTATTATATCAACTACTATACAACAATTGGCTATGAACGATCACTTACCAGGAGTTGAGAGGGCTACTGCCAAAGGACGTTCTGCATGCCAGTTACACATGACCGTTTTCGTAGCAGCTTCTGGGAATGGTAACTCCTGTTTGAGATAGTAGTGGTAATTGCTCATTGTCCATAGCTGAACTTTGTCCGTGTATGAAACGGCTAGAACGTTAGAATCACTATTCCATGCAAGTGTTACAGGTTTTTCGATTGTTGCAAGCTCTTCGGGAGTAAATCGAAGATCGAACTGGCCATGGCGAAGTCCGTTGCGCTCGAAAAAAACCACTTCGACTTTGTCGCTGGTACGTCGGGTACTGGCAATCAGATTCCCAGATGGTCTCCAACTGAGAGCTCCTTCCAAGCCGTCAACAGGCTCGCTCACACTATCCAGCGTTCCCTCTCGGGAATACACTCGAATCATGCGACGTCTCTCCTCTTCAACTTTACTGACAGCGAACCAAGCACCATCTCCTCTCCAGCTGATAGTGACAGATCGATCGTCAAGCGGACTCAGTACGCCTTCATCGACGGTCTCTGGTACTGTTGGATCCTGCAGTGCTCTAGCTCGTTTGCCTTTGAACTGTGTCTCTTTCTTTCCCCATCCTACTGAGACATGACTGGATACGTTGACGTCTTCGGGGGTCAAGTTGACGCTGGCTATGTTTTCGATATCACGACTCATCAGCAGTAGCGTATCCGCCTGAGTGGTAATAGCGAGGAGTTCCTCATCTGGCGACCAAGCAGCAGCAGAGATGCCTGCGTCCACCGAACCCACAATCTCAACTAGCTCTTCATTCGACGATGGGTTTTCTCTAACCAGTACAATATCCCCGCCGGCTAAGATTAGACATGATGTCGAAGTGTCGGAAAAATGGTGTAGACTCAAGATTGCGTCATGAGTAAGCGAGGGCAATGGACAGGGCGCATCCCACGATGCAATATTCTCAAGTTTTTCCTGACCACTGGCGCGTGTGTGGTGTAGTCTTTTGAGTTCGATAGTCGCACGTGATTCCGAGGGGCCAAAAACGCATATCAGTGCATTGGATGCAGCGTCCCAGGCAGTGGCCGTGAGCGGAAGTGGCTCCTCTCCAGCAAATCGCAGGAGTGATCTCCCCACAATCTTGAGATTGCGCATCGCTGGAGGATCATATGTTTGGTGAGTGTTGGTAGTTTGTGTTCTTTGACGGCTACAATATTCGAGCGCTATGAGTGGTCGCGAATTTTTGGTGATGCTAGCGCCGAGCTTCTACCGAATGATAATGCGTCACATCATTACAGTCGACCCCGGCGGTGTTGCCAGTGCAAGGGCCATTGAGCCGAATATTGTACATTTTTTGGTACTGTTTCGGCCTTTTCAATATATACTTCAACCAGCCTCTGAAGAGTATTGCACATTACAATGCGTCGCGCCCCTCGATCAGCCCGCCATTATCCGACGAGTTAGCACCACAAGTCTTCAGTTTATGTTACAAGCAATTGAGAGACAGACAATGAAATTGATACTGTTATGTCTATACGGTCGCCAGAAGGGCCGCCCAATATTCTACAGGTATTGTGTCCCTGGCGTGCCCGAGCCCCATGTCCACACTGTGAGAGATGGCGTCTATTTGTTCTTCTTGGTTTGCCAGACTGTGAGAGAATTGCAGTTAGTTTTGATTCAATTGCTTGTAGAGCAGTATAAGAGGGCTCACCAGCGAGGAGGAAGGGAAGGGAGAATCCAGTGGCTATGTCTCTGTTAGCATACGTTATGCAATGGGAGTCCTCTCAATCGCACCCATGAATCCCCAGTACTTGAAGGCGAAGCCCTTCTTGAGGGGGTCAAATGGCAAGTTGCTGCGCGGGCCCTCGGGGTAGTGGTACGGGCTGGAGAACTGGGCGCGAGTGGACTGGAAGCCGCGGCGGGCGACGAGGGTTGGGGCCGATGCGGCGCGGAAAGTAGCACGGGCGAGCATCTTGGGGGGTTAGTGAAGGTAGCAATTGGCGCAGAGCTGGAGCATACTTTGGCTGTGTTGTGGAGGGGAGATGTTGCGGAGCTGTCGTCGCGGTGGTTCGATGAGAGCAGCTTCCCTACCCACACGCACATGTCTTGGCAGAGAAGGTCTGTGCGTCCTACTTTTTTGATCGCGCCCATAGCCATTCCTCGTCATTTTGTCGCATGAAAGCTACACCACCACATATCACCCCCCTCACCTAGAGCGCGCACACACACCCTCTCACCATGGATGACGACATGTTTGAAGTTTTCGAGGGCGGCCCCTCAAAGGACGCTGCACCGCGCAAGACCAAGAAGCGCCAGGCCAACGGCGATGTCAAGTCGCCAGTGCCTGTCGAAGATGCTACCATGTCGGATGCGCCCGCAGAAGCACAAGGTGGCACAAACGAAAATAGTGCAGCCGAGACACTGAAAAAACGGCAGAAGCGTGATGCCGAGCCCGAGCCCATCGTTACCGACGACTTCGAGACGGAGCAATCGCGCGAGGTCGCTGCTGCTGCTGGACTGCAGGCACAGACCCAAGACGGAGAGGCTGTAGTACTTTCACATCAGGTCCGACACCAGGTCGCCTTACCGCCGGACTACGACTATGTACCCATTTCTGAGCACAAACCTCCGACGGAGCCGGCGCGCACATGGCCCTTTGCACTGGATCCCTTCCAACAGGTCTCTATTGCCTCGATTCAACGCAACGAGAGTGTCCTCGTATCAGCGCATACTTCGGCCGGAAAGACGGTTGTGGCAGAGTACGCCATTGCACAATGTCTTAAGAACAATCAGCGAGTCATCTACACCAGTCCCATCAAGGCACTCAGCAACCAGAAATACCGAGAGTTCATGGCAGAGTTCGGCGACGTCGGTCTCATGACAGGTGATGTCACCATCAACCCGACCGCCACATGTTTAGTCATGACAACGGAGGTGTGTATCGCGCAAAAAGCTTAGAACTGGTAGATACTAACATTTGTAGATTCTGCGATCTATGTTATACAGAGGTTCCGAAATCATGCGTGAAGTAGCTTGGGTTGTGTTTGACGAGGTGCACTACCTTCGCGACAAGTCAAGAGGTGTCGTATGGGAGGAGACTATCATTCTGCTTCCCGACAAGGTCCGCTACGTCTTTCTGTCCGCCACCATTCCCAACTCGATGCAGTTTGCCGAATGGATCACCAAAACCCATAGCCAGCCATGCCACGTCGTCTACACCGATTTCCGTCCAACCCCGCTACAACACTATTTCTTCCCTGCTGGCGCCGATGGTATACATTTGGTGGTTGACGAGAAGGGCGTGTTCCGCGAAGAGAACTTCCAAAAGGCGATGTCATCCATCGCCGACAAGGCTGGAACTGACGCGAAGGACTTCATGGCCAAGCGCAAGGGCAAAGGCAAGGACAAAAAGACCAATACAGGCGGCAACAGAGAGCAGACGGACATTTACAAGATCGTCAAGATGATCATGGTTAAGAGCTACAATCCCGTCATTGTGTTCAGCTTCAGTAAGCGCGAGTGTGAAAACTACGCGCTAGCCATGAGCTCCCTTGCGTTCAATGACGAATCCGAGAAGGCCATGGTCACGAAGGTATTCAACAGCGCCATTGAGATGCTTTCGGAGGAGGACCGGCAATTACCTCAGATCCAGAACATTCTTCCTCTTCTTCGGAGAGGCGTTGGCGTTCATCATTCTGGATTACTTCCCATTCTTAAGGAAACCATCGAAATCCTGTTCCAGGAGGGCTTGATCAAAGTACTCTTCGCGACAGAGACGTTCTCCATCGGACTCAACATGCCAGCTAAGACTGTTGTATTCACAAGTGTACGAAAGTTTGACGGAGTATCCCAAAGATGGGTTACACCTTCGGAATTCATTCAAATGTCTGGTCGAGCCGGTCGTCGTGGTCTTGACGATCGTGGTATTGTCATCATGATGATCGACGAGCAGATGGAGCCCGCTGTAGCCAAGGAAATTGTGCGCGGTCAGCAGGACAATTTGAATTCGGCTTTCCATCTTGGCTACAATATGATTCTGAACTTAATGCGAGTGGAAGGCATCTCTCCCGAGTTCATGCTGGAAAGGTGCTTCTATCAATTCCAGAGCACAGCTGGTGTCTCCAATTTGGAAAAACGTAAGTCTTACTCTCCATTAGTCCTGGTCATACATTGACAGTTATAGAACTTGAGGAACTCGAACAAGAAAAGCTCAACGCCAACATCATTGACGAAGCCGCCGTCAAGGACTATTACAACCTGCGACAGCAATTGGACACTCACACCAAGGATATGCGCGACGTAATTATGCACCCCAACTACTGTCTACCATTCCTGCAGGGTGGCCGGCTCGTCAAAGTTAGCTACAAAGACCACGATTTTGGCTGGGGTGCAGTTGTAGCATTTGCCCCTCGCAAAGCAAACAAGGGCGAAGTCCTACCACCTCAAGAGTCATATATCGTCGACGTTCTGCTCATCGTCGGCAGTGACAACAAGTTTGCTCCTGTAGTGAACGATGGCTTACCCCCTGGTGTCCGGCCACCTGCGCCTGGTGACAAGGGCAAGATGGAAGTGGTACCCGTAGTCCTCAACTGCATTGAGTCAATTGGTCACCTCCGCGTGTTCCTGCCAAATGATCTTAAGTCAACGGAACAGAGAAATAATGTTCGCAAGGCACTCAACGAAGTCAAGAAGCGTTTCCCAGACGGTATTGCCATTTTGGATCCTATTGAGAACATGAATATCAAGGATGAAAGCTTCAAGAGACTTCTAAGGGTAGGTGCCTACGGGCCACTGCTATAGTACATGACTAACTTGACATAGAAAATCGAAGTACTGGAGTCTCGTCTCCTGTCTAATCCCCTTCACAACTCGCCCAGGTTGCCTGAGCTTTATAGCCAGTACGCAAAGAAAATTGCAATTGGTGAAAAGATCAAGAACACCAAAAAGGAGATCGCCAACGCATTGTCCGTTATTCAGCTTGATGAACTGAAGAGCAGGAAGCGTGTGCTGCGTCGACTAGGCTTCATCGACGACGCCGATGTCGTCCAGCTGAAAGCCCGCGTTGCCTGCGAAATCAGCACGGGCGACGAGCTAGTTCTCAGTGAACTGCTCTTCAACCGTTTCTTCAATGAGCTGACACCCGAGCAATGCGCCGCCTGTCTGAGTTGTTTCATCTTTGAGGAGAAGACACAGGAAGTGCCAGCGCTAAAAGAAGAACTCGCCAAGCCTTACCGCGAGATCCAGCAGCAAGCCAGAGTCATCGCAAAGATGTCCCAAGAGAGCAAGCTGACGCTCAACGAGGAGGAATACCTTAAATCTTTCAAATACGAGCTCATGGAGGTCGTGTTTGCCTGGTCAAAGGGTGCTACTTTCTCGGAGATTTGGTATGTTCGCCCAGCCGCCTGTACTTGATCCATAGCTAATGTGTTTCAGCAAAATGACCGATGTCTACGAAGGTAGTCTGATTCGCCTTTTCAGGCGACTGGAGGAGTTGCTCCGGCAGATAGCCCAAGCCGCCAAAGTTATGGGCAGTGAAGAGCTTGAGCAAAAGTTTACTGCAGCACTGGAGCTCGTCCGTCGGGATCTTGTCGCGGCCCAATCTCTTTACCTCTAACCTGATTTCTTGCGTCTGCGTCTTGTATAACATAGTATTGCTGAGTCTCTGTAAACATTTTCGTTATTTCGCAGGTAAGTGCGGTATGTAGATGATGGCGTTCCCTTGTATGACGTCTAAACGAAAGCGCCACAAAACGAACAAGCAAGTTTTTTCAGGTGCACAAAAGGGGCATTCACCGCTTGGTCCTTCAAAAGGAGAGACTCCACAAGGTGTGTCCTGGGTAGAAATTGACTAGATCAGATGCCGCGGACCTAGTGCCGTGGCAGATGATCCCCCACGGATACATGATTCCCAGCATACTATCCAACTCAAGACGTGATATCGTGTGACATTGTTGTGATGATGAGGGCGTTTGAATTGAATTAATCCGGGAATAAAGACCGTGCAACGCGAGGGGTTCCAAGGATGCACATAGCAGAGGCTTTTACACCGGACAGCACGTGACGTGGTGCACGGTCGGTCTCCCAGCACGTACCATCTTGGGTTCTGCTGGGCATGGCTCTGCTTGTCTCCACCACCAACAACAACGCACCCGACACCGCCCAAATCGCCCACGCAGCCAGAACATCACCTCCCGCGCCACCTTCTACGCATCACCACCCGCCGCCCGGTGTCCCGCAAAGCAGATCTGCAACTTTCATAGCGTTTGCGGGCCGTTCGTTGTCGCCATGAACGTACAATATCAGGCTTTCACGCCCCCTCACCTCTTGAACAACAACAACCGTCGCTCGCCCACTCGCAACAGTATGTCCACTCACTGCTACCAAAACATCAACCACGGACCAGCAACTAATCTCAGACACTGCTCTTCAGTCATGCCATCCTCCACTGCCGTGACGGGCCGCAAGCGGAAAGCCGACGATGAGGGAAGTGCCGGCGACGACGACCGCATGAGTGCATCCCCATCTACTTCTCCTGCCATCCTCCCCCGACCTGCGCCACGAGGCATGAAACGTATGCGAACCAATGTTTCCGGTCGACCACTTCCTCTGCCACGCCTCCTCGAGACACTAAGCGCCGACGAGATGCGGAACCTACTCCAGTCCATTTGCCAGCGCCACCCAGATATTGGCAACGAAGTCGTCACCACAGCGCCTCGCCCCAGTATCCAATCAGCCATGGAAGTTTTGTCTAAATATGAGGCGGCGTTCCAGGGGGCATTTCCGTTTGGCAACCGTGCTTCATCAGATTACGCATACAACAGGGTCCGCCAACAGCTTGACGATCTGCTGGACTCTCTCAAGGATTTCACGCCTCACTTTCTCCCACCAAACGAACAACAACCTGCCACCTCACTCGCCTTCCTGGATGGAGCCACCGAAATTCTCCACCGTCTTCCCAACTGGGATACCTACCAGCACAACCGACACAAACAGGAGGCATATGAAGAGATGGCTAAGGCATGGGCGATCGTCATTCGGGAGGCGGCAAAGAGAGCAGGTGGAATACAACTCCAGTATGGCGGATGGGATCAGAAGATTGCCAAGCACAATGAGGTCTCAGGTGGAAAGATGCAAGAGGCTGTCAATGAGCTGCGCGGGGGTCTTGGCTGGATGGGTGCCGAGACTGGCAACTCAACCACAGCTGGGCCTACTGATGCCATGTCGATTCGCCAGCAACTATTGAGCGGGAACTACGGAAGTGGCTCTTCCGCCAGCATAGGTGCATGGTAGATGGTCAGTCCAGCTGATGCTAGCTCAAATGACAGCATCTACTGGTACTGCCCATCTCCATTTCCATCGGTGGCCCCTCACCACCGAGTCACTTTCTACCATCCATCTCGGCATTATTACCATTGCGATCTTCCAAAACTCACGGCCTGATCCACACCAGCAAATGATACCATTGTATGGAGGTATATTTCCATGATAACGACTGCATAGCGTTTCCTTCAATCTCTGTTTACGTACAATAGGCATCTGGCACATGGGCTTTTGATGCATAAGGCGTACTGGATGTGATCTCTTTGCGAGGGCTCGACATTTCATTTCTTAGGCTTGTGTTTCTCGCCTCTTCGGCGCAATGTTTTGTTAGTATCACCTGTCATGGATCCCTCGACATTTGAGCTCCTTTGTGACGGGCTGCGTTCTCTCCTTTGTTTGGTTTTTCTTGCTTCTGGGCATCAAGGCTTTCGATTGGAATAGGACCATGGTTAGGGAGGTGTTTTTGCGCAGGTGGTTCCTACCTGTAGTATTGATGAGTGAATAGAATATTCGTACATATGAAATCGCTGTCTCCTTGCTGTGAAAGCGTTAGTTTTGTGTGTTACCTGGTCATGAGGTACGGGGCATAGTTCTTAGCGCATGTTTGCTAATGGACACCTCTGCTTGCTTCTGCGGTGGTGTCGGTCACTTGTATTGGTAACTGGACTCTGTCTCCAATATAAGCAAGCGCGGCGGTGGTGCATTGTCGTGCAGCCCAAGAATAGCAGTCACGACTAGCAACTACACGTCCTCACCTTCACTTCACACTGCTCACTCTCGACACTGCTGTAACACATACACACACAATCTCGCCACGTCCACTATACTTCGCTTTATATCTCACTGTCTTTCTCCATCTAACTCTGACGTATAAGTACGTCGTTTCCTCATAAAACCATGGCCATTACACGAGAAAACCCCCGAATCGAAGTTCACGTCGAATGCAACGGGGCACGACTACAAGAGTTTGACGATGACGATGGCAATACAACCACCACTACTGTCACCAAATACGTCGAAGCAAAATCTGGCGCAGAATTTGCAGTCCAAGTTGAAGTCCATCAACCATTCCCTCGCTACGCTATGATTGTCAAGCTCTACATAGACGGCAACTCCGTTCGTTCGCGCATCATCGGCGATCACCAATATCAGAGTGCAAAAGGGAGCGTGAAGCGGGTGTTCAACACTACTGTTACAAAGATTGCGGACGGACAACGCACATTGCAAAAGTTTTGCTTCTCCGAGCTTCAGATTCGTGAGATACCTGCCGCCGGTTGAGCTGTGTCTGCTAACAAATGTAATTTAGAAGAATCATATGATTATAATCTAGGAGACGGTCTCATCAAGGACCTGGAATCGATTGGTGTCATCACCCTCAAAGCTTATTACATTGAAAATCTCCGAGAAGTGCGCTCCAACAGGAAATATATCGAAAAGAAGCAAACTGGTGTCGGTCCAATCCCAGAAAAGGCATTGAAAGGGCAGGCTTTAACACACTGGGCAGGGTATGTCCCTTTGGTCTTTATAAAACCTATATTGATTCTTGATACAGGCTAGGCACGGAAGTCAAAGAGCCCTATATAAGCTCGAGCCACACAGACTTCGATTATGTCAATCTACAGCGACTACCATTTGCCATCTTCAACTTTAAGTACCGCTCGAGAGGTATATATCGCTTTCATCTAGACTTTCTTCTTGGCGTACACTTTGGCCAACAGGTTATAGCTGCCCTTCAGTCGCTACTCGTCATCCGGCGGAGCCCGTCTCCTCAACTCACTCAAGCCAAAGACAACGAGACGCATCCGGTCAACTCACCAGGGTCGAAACAGAACAGTCTCCTGACAAAAGTAAAGAAAGAACCAGGTCTCAAACGCGAGTACCCGGTTATCCTTGGAGGTAGCGAGGACGACGGTGATGTATCATTTGTATCTGCAGCAAAGCGCCCACGGCCCAACATCACCATCAACGAGAATGGATGCGAGATTATCGATCTTACGTAGAGCATAATTAGGTACCATGGCGCGATGATGGCGGTCGCAGAGCACTGCTTTCATACATCCCGTCCTCGCCATGTGGCTTATCAATGGCCTCTTTACGAGCTTAAAAGTTGCGCTCATCACCTGCCAGGGAACCAAGTGGCACGTTTGTAATCGTTATGCTCTATTGTAGTTTCTTTTAAATACAGTCTATATAATTACCTGCAGAAACCAATTGACACTCCCCATTAGCAACTCCAGCCCTGAAGTTAGTGGCAAGTCCACGAACATTGTTGTTCGACAACCAAATTATAAACAGCTACTCACTCCCTCAACCAAGAATCCAGGCGGTTGACTCATCATCACTAAACCAAATTATCCAGCTCTCAAAGCGAGTATAAAACCAGCTATCCCTCCTGCCTATGCATTTCATTCCTCAAGGCGCCTTAACTCGTAACAAGATGCCCGACCGATGATGAGAGTTTGTCGCTGATAAGTATCAAGCCGACAAGTCAAGCTGAGGTCTGCGACGAAGAGAGATAGCCTGTAGATTGCCAAACTTATAGCTGCGAGCAGTGAGAAAGCAACTGGTTATGGTATTTATCTTTTCTTTCATGCAATGGTATCCAGGCAGGCCAAAGTAGTGTCTCCTTTAATCTAACAGAATGAAATCAAAACCAGAACAATGTGAGCTTGTTTAAGATGATCTTGTAGCGGATAGGTGGGGTAGAGAGTTTGCTATTTTTGAAAAAAAATAAAATTTATCCATCTCTATTCCTTTGCAAAAGTCTCGTTTGCGGTTGGCTAAAATTGTTTTGGCGATCATCTCATCGAATTCGAGGGACGATGCGAATTCGGTCAGCTGCAATGTGTTCCTTACACTTCCAACGACCGCAGTCACTTGTAGAGATTTATGTGAGTTGTTTACATTTGGAATTTTCTATTTTGGGTGTAAATACTTGAGGGAACATATCACTTAAAGTATGCCTAGCATAAAAGACATGTCCTCCCAGTCATCGACATAGCGTGTTCGTACCAGCAGAACACAGTGCGAGCCTCCTTCTTCACTCCACATATGACCACCTTTTTTTCGCATATACAGCGCTCTCACTCCAGTACAATGATCTCATCCTTATCGGTGGGTAAGCATCGACGCTTTGCACTCCTTTCCTCCACTAGTTTGACCTCGGAGTCCTCGACATTCTCGGTACGGTGTCGTTTCATTACCGGCTTTTCTTCTTTCCCTGGCTGCATACAATTTGTTAGTCATGATTTTGCAAGTTCTGCTGACACAGGAAATTCGTTACGTGATAATCATCCAGCGGCTGAGCCTTGTTCACCATTGAAAGTGGGCTGGCGGAGCCCTTCTCTAAGGTCGCAGAATTTTGAAGCGGAGGGAGTATATGGAGCGACCGGAGAGCAGCTATGATGTGATTTTGTTAGGCTTTGTCTTTTCTGGACCAGTGTCGCATACCTTCAGAGCGATATTTGAATCGAATAACAGCAAATGGGCGGTCTCCATCGACATGATCGGCTTCCACCCACGTAACTGGTGCAATGCGTTCGAATGGGTCGAGTCTATTCGGCCAGTTAGCAGAATCGAGAAAGAGAGAAGTTACTTGGAGTTGTACTGTGTTTTGAGCGACACTGCCGAGCCTTTCAGTGCCTTTTCTGGAACCTTATCATACTCGTGTATAGTTGGAGCCTTCTTGCCTGCACTTGAGACACGGATGTTGGTGATACGATAGAAGGACACCGATATGTCGCCTGTGCCTGCTAGCTGGTTCTGTACCGCTGTGTTTACTGTCTCCGTCTCTTCGTCTGTGAGGAACTTTATTGGGCCAGTCTGAAGAGATGGAGGGATCAAGCTTACGTGTGTCCAGAGTGGCAAACCGAAATCGCTGCCCGATGAAGAGATTTCCAATATGGGCACTGCTGGCACATGCATACCTTGATACCCCATGAAGACGGCCGACATAGTTATCATGGATGTACTTGCGCATGCTGACCCCGTCAATGCTGACCTCTGCTTTGATGCCGTACTCCATGAATAAGCTCGGAGGGATGAAGTACTGGACGCCAAACTGCTCGCCTGCTTCTGACTGGATGTAGACTGTTCTGGTTTTAGAGCGTGCATCTTCGCCGTCGTCGTACTCTGTCAGCCGGCACCCGTCAACAGTGACTTCAGCATATAAGCCGGGATAGGCAATGCTGGGCGCCATTTCGCAGTGTTGAATGGAAATGGGAGCTTCTGAGAGGTCGAGAATTGGAATGTGGAGGCATGTAGTGCGCAAGGTGTTTTCCTTGTGATGGGCAGGAGCGGCCTCAGTGTGTAAACAAACAGCTGTGTGGTCCATGTGTTGAAGGCAGTCACTATACAACTAACATCACTGAGCTCCTTCATCCTCATCATTCATGCCTAGATGCTATTGACCCATCACGATTCACTCATCACTGATGATAGTTATATCCGCATGAGTTTTGGATGTTAGGTAAATACTCCACATCGCTTGTCATACAAAGCCGTCTTGTCTTCTAAAAGGTTTATGGCGATATCACGACAAACGACGATAATCGAGGCTGATGTAAAAAGAGCACATACATCCGCAACTATCATGCAGACATGGAAAACCCTCCTTCATTCCTAATAACAAGCATACAAAATATCAAAGACTACAGGCCGCTACTCCCACTATTAGTCTCTCTATGGCAAGCCTTACAAAGCCACTCGAAGAAATTTCCACATACGGACTGAAATTCCTAGAACCATTTATCCGCTCCCATACACCACCATAACCATTCAACCTCTCTCCTCCGACTACAAAAATTCCCCAATCTCACATAATCCCGACAATATCACCTCAGCACCCTAAAGCGACTACCCAACTTCCCCCAAACCCATCCATCCCTAAACCCAACTACTCTCCGTCTTACCCGCCTACCATCTCAACATCTCCCCTCTAACTCACACCTCCTACCCTTCCCACTCTCACTCCCATTCCAACCTCCTCACACCTCAAGCCAATGACGTCCCTCCTATGACGTCTGCCAAGCCGCCCTCTCCAATCCCCCCCCCTTTTTTAGGAGGTTTTGGTGCGTGGACAAGTGTGAGTGGGAAGCTACTAAACTACGCCCAAGCGCGCATTTTTTAACTTCCTCGTATTCGCCGCGGAAACCAAGAAAAGAGATGCGTTAAACTGGGTTAGCGTTGGTGAGTGCGGCAAGGAAGTGGGATGGGGAATTTTTTTTCCAAGGCAGAAACAAGTAGATGCAGAGATGGGGATGGGTGGTCATGGGAATTGTGGATTTCAGCCATGTACGTGTGTGTGTGGACGCCACGATGGGAGATTGACGTCGGGGATGGACAGGCGGGATGGGATCTACATTGCGGGTGTGGGGAAAGGTAGGTATGCGATGTGAAGGTGTCATGGTATTGTCGGGATTTCCAGCATGATTCTGACATGGAACTACACTTTTGCAGGGGAGGGGGGAGGAGCTAAACGTCTAGTTTATTCAATTAAAGTTTGTTTAGAACCAGAAAGAAAGATTGACAGGCATGTATCTTCTGCCAACTTCCATCGTAGCACACGCTTTCATCATGCCATTATCATGCGCTTTAAAATTTTCGTTACGCCGTACGTGTGCGTGTATCGCAAGTGGCCCACTTGTGAGGGAAGGAGGGGATGCTAACGCCCAAAGTTGATGCAGTGTCGTGCAATGCATATGCATGCTAAGAACAAAAACAAACGCCAAGAATGATGTGGTGCAAGGAAATTCGTTGACTGCGTGGGAAATCATGTGTCGTCTATAGTCCGGGAAATCTGCTCGCTTCAAATCTTCTCCGTCTGGGCTCCTTGTCCCATTAGTCTAGTCTCTCTGCTGGTTCGACGCAGGTAAGCCTGGAGAGAGAACATGGATAGCACAGTAAGCCCTAGAAGTACCAAGATGATTTGCATCCACTTGACTACAGTCTACTCTGATGTTAGCAAAAAAGCATTTCACAACATGTGATGATAAGGAACTTACAGCTTCGTTGCAAGCAACGCTAGCATTCTGCTTATCCTGACCAGTGACAAATCCGGGTTGAAATCGGCATGCAGCCATTTCTCGGGTGCAGTAGACGTTGGTATTCATTTTTCCACCCATCATCAGTCGCTCCTGAGTGCATCCCCATTGGTCGTTGCCCAGTTTCGTGTAGTGCAGTGCAAGCGAGACGATGGCCATGACCGCTCCAGCAAGGGACATGAAGACAAGACTGAGTATCCAGAACCGGCGTACAGTCTAGGTGTGAAAGTTAGATTTCTGATGTTTCCGTGTAAGAACTGAGACACCAACCGAGTTAATCAAGGCGTCCATTCCTGGTTTTCGCAGAGTGCTCCATGCGATAATGGCGATAACGGCCGCGGCCAAGTTCAGGCATCCCGATACAATTGTCGCATCAGTATCCGCGTCGGTAAAATACACAATTGTCGCATCCGTCACAAACTGCCTCGCTCGCTCATCGAAGTCAGAGGTGGTAACGAGAACGCCTCGCGGTACAACCCAGTCGGTTAGGATCCAGTAGTGCGTTGTCAAAGCCACCGAAACCACAGATGTGAGTAGGTAGAGTATCGACGGTACCAAAGCCAACTTGAGAATAACGTCGAATCGCAACATGTTGGCGTATGTGCGCAAGAATCGGACCTGGCACAGGACGTGCAGGCAACGATAGCAATGCAGAAGAGTAATCCAGGCTCCAGGGTGTCAAAAAAGAAGGCAGGTATGTACTGGAGGCACGGGTACCACGTCGCTAAAATAAGAGCGACAGGCTCGACTCGGGTTTCCTGCTCGCAGCCATATCGACGCCCAAAAACGGAGAACAGAAAAGCTTGTCTAGGGCTCGGCACACCGCCACGATCCGCTCATTGAGGTACTTGGCCGTGTCAGCACAGTGTAGCGCTACACTGGAACCATGAGTATTCCGGACGGGCGCGAGCCATTGGACATGGCCAAGAAGGGATGAGGCGTACGCTTGGCGAGACGTGTTTCGCGCCTATCTTGCGGGTGGAGTCTGGCGTTAAACAGAGCGCCCCAGCCACTCCGACGTGGCCCTTCACCGCACACCCGGCAAATTCAACCCCGGCCCCTCGATGCTTCAGCGTGGAGTCATAAAATGGGGATGTCGAAAAGGTCTTATCAGGGGTCTCTGTTGGCAGCGTGTGAGTGGTAAGGTCGTGGAGTTGGTGGCTAAGTTTGGTTGGCAACAGAACGTCACGATACCCCGCGAAGGAAGGAGCCGGAACCACCGTGCAAATATTGCCAAGTCCTACGGACCGCTCAGGTTCTGCCGTTTATCCCGGCACGATTCGCCTTTTGGCATACACATACGTCTAGATCACGATGCTGGGTGGGCAAGCGACGCAGGTACAATGGCTGTGTGGGGGACTTGGACATGACTAGATCGCCTTGGGTGCGCCATGTGCCTTGATTTCTCTCCCAGCTATTCACCATTTTTTCATGACGATATCCCCGCATACCCTCATCCCTTGCGGGACACTGGCTTCCATGAGATCATGTTCAACACGACCTGCACCCGTTCGTGCCGTGGGTGCGCTTGGCTTGATACAGCCATCCGCCCCGGCCATCGCGGTATGTATAATACGAGCAGATAAACACTTATGCAGGTAGTGAGTACATTTTCTAGCCTAGTTAAAAGCCTCATGCACGTCTTAGTCAGTATTGGTGATTGCTCTTATTAGAAAGCAGCCCAGCCACCATAATTTCTGGAATATGTATTTCCCGTCGGACGAATCTTCAAGTCCGTCATATTGCCTTGTCGCATCAGAAGCCAAAGTTCATGACATCTTCCTCGGACTTCGTTGCCCAAGTCCCACCATGGAAGATATGCTCCCGCACCACGTGCTTCCCATCGGCACTCTTTTTTACAATATGCGATGAGTTCGTACCATCAGACTCTCCGATTCTCTCAAGGCTGCCATCGAGTTCTGCTAGTTCACGAGGTACTACCTCCGCAGCTGAACCAGGGCCAGCTGGCGTGGGATCGACATAGAGGACGAGATATGGAAGAGAAGCGGTACTGTGCCGAAAGACTCTGATCTTTGAAATGAATCGATTGCCACCGAGTTGTTTCTTGTGCTGTAAGAGGAAGTATCCGGCCCATCGTCCAATCGGTGACCCTAGTCCATCAGTCAGCATTAAAACCCAACTGTCAATCACTTTAGTACTACATGAACTACTAACCCAAGATTGCTCTGCCCCCAACCGTATCCATGGTAAAGTCACTGCCTGGCCAGACTTTGGTCTCACTCTGAGGAGGCTGCAGTGTTCCAAGCGCTGTTCTGATCATATCTCGAGAAGTTGGGTTCATAATCTGTGTCACAAGGAGGTACTTGACATCAGCAATGTTGGAGGCACCAGCTCGGTTCCAGACAGCCCATGCTATATCCGAGGGTGTACCAATATGAGGTAGCTCTTCGGGGAGTGGTTTTCGGAACCAGGTGAACTTTTCGGCGCAGAAACTCAAGCTCATGATGTTCATGAGGACGACGAGTCCGTTTGGATTAACAGCGAACTCGTATGTAGCACCTGTTGCCTGCATTAAATATCGGTCAGCAATATTCTTGTCGAATAGTGTGACCTGCAAACACTTGCCCTATACTCCTTACCGCACACATAGTAGTACTGGTTTGACTCAAGAGGGAGAGAACCATCCGGGAGCCTTTTGATAGCAGGACCGTCACGATGATTGATCTTGAAACATTTGTTCGGCCCACCGTCTTTCTCTGCCTTGGTGTCCAAGCCTAGCTCATCAAAGGCAGGCTTGATACCATGATACGCGTCAAAGTCACACTCTTTTTCAACCTCTTTCCTCAACTTCTCGCTGTCGTCGAAGCCCCACCTTGCCAGATCCTCCCGCCCATCACCATCAAAGGGACTTTGACATGTCTCTTGAAAGTTGGGAAAGTCCTTGAAGAACCATCGGGCGATGCTGTCTTTGGACTTCATGGCCGCATCGAGCGTACGTCCGATTTCAGCAGACTTTTCGAACTTGGTTGGTTCGGCAAAAGTATGAGCTTTGGAGGAAGAGTCTGAGTTAATAGAGGCAGCATCGGCGAGAGTGAAGTCGACATGGGTGACGTGTTCAGGTGATGGGCGTGGACACACTACCACGCGAGCGCTGGCGAGAGTGGCTACCAATACAGCAAAGACGAATTGGAGCTTCATCTTAAAGTAGAAGGAAGAGAGTAGGCCGATTCTCCTGCTACTTGAAAGTTGACTCGTTTATAGAGTAGTGGTTGGAGGAAAGATGGATCTGCTTAAGTACCTACAGACTTGGCTGGGTGAAAGTGAAGGTAAAGCAGGAGCGAGTGGTCAATGTGGAAATCACGCTTCAGCAGCTGCAAACGGCCAGGTGATTTTGAGATCACGATCAAACGAAGCTTTCATTACGTTTCCACAGACAGGTGTCACGCTCAGGCGAAGCACGCGTCTTGGATTCATTTAGATAGGCAGCATAGACGCAGGAAGCGGTAGTGATTGCGTTGAAGAAATCGTATATTCAGCGTGCATTCACTACATCCAACCAATAAGACTGTTGATGCTAGGTGAGCGAACTCCAAGTGTGCCCCTTCTATTTTAGATCATACATGTTTATACAAAGTCAAATACATCACCCCTGTCTGCAATCATCTTGCCCACTCTCTTTGTGCCAACAATCCTTTCCAACTCCATCTTTTCCCATTTTGAAAAACACACCCTGACACTAACTTCTGCTCTACTAATTTCGGCCCGTTCCAGAGTCTTGCCAATAAAGCCTACCACTTCGTCATAGAATATGGGGTTCTCCGGCACACCATAGAACACAACCCGTTTGACACCCCGAATCTTGTAGCGGTGAAAATGGTGCGCACGACCCGTGTACAGCAACAGTGAGTGCTTTCCGTTCATAAAGTGTGAGCGGGCTTTGCGCACATCGGTCACATCGGTATATTCGCTGATTGAAGCATATGAAAAGTCCGAGTCGACGAGCGAGTTGCGCACGCGGACAAAGTCCAGGTAGGATGGAATGAAGATCAAAACACCCAAACCACCCTCTGGCGGCCTCGGCATGCGGTTGATCGATGGTAGGATGGATGTGTTGAAGTATTTAAAGCGCGCGTCTGGATCGGTAAGATGGGACGGTGAGTCGAAACGCACGAACGTCTGCTTTACGCCGTACGACATTGTTTCTATCAGACCGTCTGTGTTATCGGCAGTGTATTTTAAGCGCCCGGCTACATTGCGCATATGCTTGTTGTACAGAGTGTTGATCTTTGGTGTCAGGAACGCGGAGAGCACAATGGTCTGTCGAATATGTGGTGCGTGTCCGTCTAGATACCACGAACGCACCCGTGAAAAGTCGCAGCCGTGAGAATCCTTTGGCTGGAGATTCAGGTGCTCAAAGACGAACTCTGTGTGGTCCCAGTTTTGCATGAGGGTAGCATCCGCTTGCTCCATAACTACCATCTCGATGGATGATAGGAAGTCGTAGTCCCGCTTCTTGGGGTCACCAGACTCGATTGCTCGACGCAGACCGAGAGTAGAAGCAAAGATGATGTCGGAGTTGTAGAAAGTTGAGAACAACTTCAGTGTCTTACGTGTTAGCTTGACGCCGATGCGGAACTCGTTTTCGTCGTTGCCTTCGAATAGTTGGCGGAAATCTGCGGGCTTGTCGTCCGAAAATTTGTCTTCTGGCAGTGAAAAACTGTCGAGAAATCGCTTCTTGTTTTCTTGCTGTTCAAAGTCGTAGAGTTTGGTGATGGAATCCAAGATGCGTACACAAGCCTGCTTGGTCTCAAGAAGGAACAGTATCTTGGGACGCGTAAAGCCCTGGTCGCGATATTCGGCATCGTCGTCGTCGCCTGCAGCTGCCAACTTTGCGTTGTTCTTAAGCACTCGGTCGCGGGTCATGAGAATATGATTCAGCGCATGCAGACAGGTGATGTCTCGAAGGCGGTTAGCGTTTTGTACCGTTCGCGCGCCGAACAGCAGGTCTTGGTAGCCGAACAGGGACGGTGCAATGGTTTGTTCGACTGGGTCAAAGTCTCCGACTTTCTTTTGCGCATTCTCCACCAGTCGAGCCTTTAATTGTACATCGCGAGTGCTCTTCACTCTCCTTGAGGGTGGCTGGACCTCGTCGCTCGGGACTTGGAGAATGCCAAAACCCTTTGCACTGCCTGATGCCGTGCGCAGTTTATGCGATGACCATTGGTTCGCCGCTATCCGTTTCAGCCGTGCTGCCAGTTCGTTCTCGTCTGGATTTGCAAAGTGTTTCTCGTAGGCCTTCTCCAGCTCTTGTTCTTTGGTATCATCTCCGTCTGCTTGGTCGTCGTCGGAATCGCCTTGCTCTACCTCGTCCTCACGGTCATTCGCATTGGCTTCAGCGTCTTCCAGTTGATCGGTGTCTTTGGCAACGGCCTGTTCTGGCTCGTGATCGTGCTCAAGCTTCCGCCTCTTTTTCCGGGGTTCATCTGAGCCAGTATCGCGGGCGGAGAAAGATTGGAGGAGAGCTGCGTAGGCGTTGGCGGCTGGCTGAGCCTCTTCCTCCTCCTCGCCGTCATCGTCTGCGGAAGCACCACTGTCGGAGCCTTCGGATTCGCTTTGTTCAGAGTCGGATGGTGCACGCATGTTGACATTCCTTCATTTGACGGTTAGCATGTAGACGACCCTCTCTGTAACTAATATCCGTACTCACGAATCTTCGACCTCGTCGGCGGTCCTTGCAGCAGCGAACCCCCCTCTACTACCGCCTCTTCCCCTTCCTCTTGCGCCACCTCTACCTCGTCCTCTGCCCCGGAAACCACCACGGCCTCTGACGGGCGCCATAGTCGCTATGCGCGCGATTGTCGGATGCGCCTGGTTATAAGGATGGAGTCGATGACGCAGAGTTTTTTGAATGGATCCAGGATATACACCTACTTGGTGTCCCCAAAGTACTGCTGGTGTCGCGCAGCAATTAAATTTTCCGAGTCGCTATAGCGCGTCAGTTAGATGCGCCTGTAGTTCAAGGGTCCCACCAGAAAATATATCGACATGGCCCGTGCAAGCGAACTGCCGCACCTGCCCAGATTTCGTGAAGAATATCGACGTGCCCCACCAACCACATTGTCATCTTTGATAGCCGCCAGCGCCTCAACACCACGACTACGTCCACGATCACCGCCGCCCAGACGACAATCGCTACCATGGCCGAGAACGACTCTTTCCTCCATCTCGCGCGTCCCCTCGGCCCTGCGCCTCTGGGTGCCCAGCCATCGACTGCCCCGCTGAACGTCGCCATCCAGCCCCAGGTATGCGACCATTGCAGTGAGAGGCTGCCAGCTTCGCTCTCTGACCCGCTGTGAACAGGCCGTCTTCTCAATCCTCGACCACGCCCTCCGCCGCCCCGCCGACCAGGAACGCGTCATTGGTACCCTTCTCGGCACCCGCAGCGAAGACGGCACTGAGATTGAGATCCGCAACTGCTATGCTGTCCCCCACACCGAGACGGCCGAGCAGGTCGAGGTCGACATGGACTACCAAAAGCAAATGCTTGCTCTTCACCTCCGCGCCAACCCCCGCGAAGTCCTCGTCGGCTGGTACGCAACCAGCAGCGACCTCAACACCTTCTCTGCTCTCATCCAGAACTTCTACAGCCAGCAGGGCGACGGAACATGGCCACACCCCGCTGTCCACCTGACTGTCTCAACTGTTCCCGGCCAGGATATCGAGTCCAAGACATACATCTCGGCACCCATTGGCGTCACTGCCGAGCGCGCAGCCGACTCTTGCCTGTTCATCCCAGTGCCCCACGAGATCAAGTACGGCGAGGCCGAGAGGTCGGGTCTGGAGCTCATCTCATCCGCAAAGGACAGCGAGGACCGGTCACAAGAGGTTATGACCGACCTGGATTCATTGGAGCGCGCCATCCAACATGTTCTTGACATGCTTGAGCGCGTGTCCACCTACGTTAACAATGTTTTGGACGAAGAGGCCGAGCCTTCATCCGCACTGGGCCAGTTCCTGATGAACGCACTCAGCTTAGCACCCAAGGTTGAGCCTGCTGACATTGAGCGCGACTTGTACGTTGAGACACAGTTTTTCTTAAATGGTATCTGGCTTTGCTAACATGTAGCAGCAACGCACACATCCAGGATGTCCTTGTGGTATCATACCTCGCAAACACAATCCGCACACAAATCGACCTCTCCAACCGCCTGGCAACAGCAGCGCTGACCATGGGTGGTGGTGATGTTCTTGGCGGCGAAGGCAAGAAAGATGGCGAAAACAGAGGCAAGGGAGGTGACCGACGAGGCGGAGGCAAGGGCAGGCAGCAGAGGGAACAAGAGGCATGAGCGTGCCTAAAAAAGGGATACATTGCAAGGAGTTTGGCGTTTGGCTAACGCGTTATTCTAGACGGAGTCAAGCCTCTAGCAACAAAGGGCGTGGGAATGCCCGTTTCTAAATGGTTGATAGATTCAGCATCGAGAATGCGGGCGGATCTTGGAGACGTGGAAACTTTCGTGGATTCAAGGCATGAATGGCAGCCATGACAAATGATGATGATGACGACCACGAAAGATGTTTTGGGTGGTCGAGCTGCAGGCTTGCTTGCTCCCTGTTCAAACAGAAAAAAAAGCCTTTTGCCTAGTAAAAGCGCTGTATACCTAGTAGTTTTATTTGACGCGGCTGCGGTGGTTAGAATTATCACTACGCTGAGGCGTATGTTGGAACGTGGAATGCCAGATATTTTGACCTGCTGAATTACTTGCATTGCGAATATGACGTCTGATGAGTATTGTATCTGCTGTATGTATGAATAAGTGTCTATTTGGCAACAATAACCAGATTACGAATTGGTAATGATTCAATTTCCATTCTTTGGGGGTATTATCCTTATTTCCTTGTACTTGACTATCCATGCATACCATTAACGCACAATCTCCCATTCCCTCTCTCTCTCTCTCCCTCTCCCTCCCTCGTTTGCAGTAAACAATCGTCCTCACGCAGCCTTCCCCTCTTCCCCCTCCCTCTTCTTCTTCTTCTTCTTCCTCCTCCTCTCCTCCTCCCCCTCCTCCTTCCTTCCCTTGCCCTCTCCATCTTCCTTGGCCTCGACCCTCTCCGCCACCCTCTCCCTATCCGCCAGCACAGCCCCCTCATCCGTATCAAACGCCTTCCTCTTCCTCTTCAACTCCTTATCCGTCTCCAGCATCTCGCTCACCCTGCCCAACTTACCCGTATCCCTGCGTAGCATAAACTTGAAATCGTCGAGTTTGATTTTCGCGCGCCGCGCGTGGTGTGCGACCGACGCGGCTTCGTGGCAGGTTTCGATGATGTAGTCTGTTATTATTTCGTCGAGCACGCGGACGGTTTCGGGGAGCGGGTAGTCGTTGTCGCCGAAGGCGAGGAGGAAGGCTTCTACTGTTGTTGTTTTTTCGTGTTAGAGTGGATATGTGTGGGAAGGGAGTGGGGGAAGATGTACAGTCTTGGGTAGGGAATTGCTGGCCTTTTTGGCGCAGACGCATACGCGGTTCTGTCATGTTTTTTGCGGCCAAGTCGCGCGCGCGAAAGGTTGTCGACGACCACTCCAACTGCGACGGCGGCGGTAAGTGGATGAGTTTTTTTCGTATCTAGCGCGTCGGAATACTACTGTATATTTTTTTTATCCCCGCGTTTCAAGTGATAAAGTTGCGTACAACTATCACCGCAATGTAACAGGTTGTTCAGTCGTCGCAATCAAACGCAGCCCAGACCTGCAATGACGATCCCCAAAGGGCGGGTCAGCGCCGCGCACTGGCCCCCTCCGTCACTCCGTCCGCTCACCCAACATTGTGTTTAAACCTGTGTTATATGCAATAAGGTTACTGCGTTAATTCCGGACTTCACCTTCATACTAGGCATCCCCCCAACACCTTTTTCCCTTTCTCTCTTTCTCTCTCTCTCTCTCTCTCTCTCTCACCACAAACTCCCTCCTCAAGCATCGAACAACCATGGTACCTTCCCCTCCCCTTCTCCCTCATATCCTCCCTTTCCTCAAGTTGACACAACCCCACACAGACTGCCCTCTTCAACTTCCAATCCCTCCTCCTCGTCATCCTCCTCACAATCTGCACTTCGACATACGCGCACTCGGTGTTCCCCGGTATAATCGATCGAAACAAGGAAAATTGGATTGTGTCGCCGTTGTGGAAGGCGGCGAGGGTTGGCGAGAGGTTGAGTCCGTATGTTAGTATTGCGTGTGTGGTTATGGCTGTGAGTTTTTTTTTCTTTCTTTCCTTGCTTTCTTTACTTGTTCGTTTTTTTGCGGCATGGTTTTGGGGAGGAGAGGGAGGGGTGCGAGTGTTTAAGAGGGAGAGTTCAAATGACTGACGGAGAAACAGGCGCTCGAGTTTATGGGATGAAAAGGTGGGAAATGTGGGATTTTCTCTGTGAAGGAGGTTAAAGAGCGGGAACTGTGCCATGTTTAAACAGCAGGATGGTAGCCACCATGGGCGTTTTTGAAAGCGAGGCGTTATGGGGTAATGTTTTGATATAATATCCAAGAGCATATCGTGGCATCATCTCTACCAAACACATGTCATCTCTCACACCAACACCAACGCCAACACAAAAACTCAAATCACAAACACTTCAAGAAAAAAACAAGTCTAAAGTGCAGAGCGTCATGAGATTAAAATATATACAGGGCAAGCGAGATTTCACTCTCGCAGACTTTTGCTGACCCGTTTGAAAGCCAACCGTGTATTTGGGGAGCACAAAAGCAAGAAAAAGTGTACCAGCACCCCGAAATCCATCTAAACCACCCCAGTAGCAAGTTTCCAACCAAAGAAGACCAATTGTTCCATACAGGGGATGATAATACACGACGTTTCCAGCGCCTTAACTCAACACCTCTGGAGGCGCGCGTGAGATGAGATGTCTGACTGATTTTGTTGAATCATGAGAACAAAACATAAAAAGACAGAGAGCAATACAAAAAAAGACGAAAAGCAGAACAATTCCACTGTCCTGACCAGCGGACCTCCATGTCCATTGCTGGCACCCGTGTATAATGAAGAAAAAGAGAGGGAAAAAGAGAAGAATAACATCGTTCAAGGACATGGGCATTATTGGGGGGAAAGGGGGTGAGGGGCATGGAAACATTAACAGGATAAGCCGGACCTAACTCGCTCGTCCTGCTTAATGCTCACGACTGCCCTCACCCTTTTCAAAACACCCGTGCAGTCCTTGCCGAGAGCCCCTACGTTCTTGCACACCTTCAACGTCGCTCGAGTCCTCGACCATGACGTGAGTGTCAAGAGCAAGGTCAGGTTGGCTGTGCGCATCATCCGCATCGTCGTCATCATCGTCATCATGATCGCTGACTAGACCCGGGTTAGACTCGACTGTGTGAGGGCTGAGGTCTACGGGCGAGCGTGGCATGTCATCGTGTCCTTGAGGCTTGATGGGAGATGGGAGAGACATGGGAAGGCGTGCATGGCTTGGATGAGAACCTTTCTTACTGCCAGCCCTTGGCGGAGTTTTGCTTGCAGGAGCACTAGCAGGAAGACGGGCCAGGTGGGGAGCAACGGTTGTTACCGGCGTCGGCGCAACACTAGTATCTGCACTGTCGTCATCCGAGGTGTCTATCGCATCCAGATCAATCTTGGACCGGGCCGTCTCAAGCATCTCCTTGAAGTCACCTTGAGCACCGCTGTTTTGGAAACGGGCTGCCAGGTAAGGGGTTGACGATGTCTTGATGAAGCTAGGAGGCGGGGCAGATTTGGACTCGTTGGATGATGGAGTTTTCAGCTGGCGATGCACCTGTGGAGCGTGTGCAGCGGGTACAGCCTGAGACGCGAGCGGGTGAACAATACCAGAAGTAGCCGGGGTAGGAAAGGAGACTGCCGGCGTTGCTGCAGGCATGCTGGCAGGTTCACTCGCAGTAACAGGATTGGTGCTGTCGTTGGACTCGACAGGTACACCGCAGGCAATGGCTGCAGCATCGTGGCTCTTGAAGACTTGGTTGTGCTTGATACGACAGTGGTTGAGGAAACCCTGGGTGTTTGAAAAGTTGCTATGTCCGCACTGAGCACAGTAGAGGCGGACCCACTGACCGTCGGTAGATCGCTTGTGCAATAGAGGATCTATCTTTGGCGCTGGTGCTGGAGTTTCACCAAGAGGGGTGAGCTTCAACATTCCAGTCGAAGTTCGCGACGTGCGGCCTCTGTGAGCTGAGCCGTAGTCAGCAAAACTGCCGCGCGTCGTCCTGCCCTCACCAGTGCCGAAGTAACCTTGAGCCTGCTGGGCGAGTGCACGCTCAGAGACGGGATCAAACTTGACGTCCGAGATGAGCCATTTTGCGTAGTGGCGAGTGTAAGGGCCGTCAGTGACTCCCCAAGGCGCAGCATACTGTGGCTGAGTGTAGCCTGCGCTGGGCTGCAGAGACGGACCTACGCCGAGGCTGACGTTGACATCAAGACCCTCTGTGCCTGGGAAGGGAATGATGGAGCAGCGCCTGAGTTGCTCTAGAGAGACTTGGCATTTGGCTAGCTCCTGTTCAATCAAGCGGAGTTCGTTGTGCTTGAGCAAAATCTCGTAGTTGATTTGGGCCTCAATAGCTTGCTGCACAGGGGTTAAACCAGAGTCCATGGAGGTGGTGGTAGTGGATGCAGGCGTGGCGGTGGAGGTTGGTTGAGCAGGCCGTTGCGGAGGGGCTGAGGGCTTGCTCTTGCTCTCCTTTGTTGCAGGCAGCGCCTTTGGTCTGGCGTCGGCAACGTGGGCAGCAGCAGAGGCAGCAGCAGGTGCAGTTTGCACCGACGGCTTCATGTCACCGTGAGCATCTTTCCACTTCTTTACTACATGCGCGTGGTGCGCGGGCGAAGGCTCAGGACTGTCTGTCCTCTTCCGCTTGATCTTGCTCATAAAGGCTGGCATGTCGACGACGGGCAGCGGCCTCTGCTTGTGCAGGGCAGACTTTTCCATGATTTTGTCGCCAGGCGACTCGTTACACCATGGGAGGCGGAACATGGACTGCATTGTGAGAGAGGAGAGAGCCTAAAAGCAACAGAGGTCATCTGTCGTTGTGAGGGGCGTGTGCATCCAAGTCGGGGAGCTAGTGGAGCTGCGAGATGACGTTGCAGCAGTGGCAGCAGCGAGCGCGCAAGTCGGAGGCAGCACTTGCGCAGGAAAGACGGGGGATATTAAAAGGGGTTACGGGGATTTGAACAGTGTGCGAAGGAGTGCAGGAAGAGAAGCAACCAGCAGTTAAGCCGTTGCGATGATGACGTGGAGGGCAAGAGGCGCGCTGATCGGGCCACTTGATAAGGAAGAAAACAGGCGCACCAGCACGACAAGTCTGGGGGGAGCGGGCAGCAGAAGCCGTGGATCCAGGAGGCGTCGGGGGGGATTACAGAGGGTGAGTGCTACAAGAAGCCGTGGTGAGGCGTTGTGGTGGTGATGGTGGGGGGGAAGGGGGGAGAAAGGGCGAGAAGGGGGTTGTGGTGGGGAGGGGGGGGTTGAGGGTGAGGTGCCAGGCGGCGATGATGTTGTGATGAAGGGCGACAGTGACAACGAAGGTCTGGGGGGGCAGAGGGAGGGCGGCGGCGGCGAAGGCAGACACGGACACACAGACACAGACACGACGGGGCAAGCAATGAGAGCGTTTCCGCAGGTATGGGCTGCACCAAGCGGCACTAGCAGGGGTGCCCCGGCTCGAGCGCCCATTTGGGGCCTGGCGCGGAAGTCGCAGTCGCTGTGGTCTCAGAAAAGCAGGCAATCCGGTGATAGCAAAACGCAGGCGCAAAAAGAACAAAGTAAAAAAGGCTGGCGACGCTGGCGACGCTGGCCACTCGACCACGCCTCCCCGCTGCCTCACTGGCGGCCGCTGCACGCCCACTAGGCATTTACTTTTGCGCCCCCCAGTCCGCGCTCCCCCGATATAAGTACTACTTACATGGGCCAAATAGATGGAGCGAGCGAGCGAGTGCGAGGGATCCACGGCCAAGTCGCTCACCGAGCCAAGGGCGCGCGTCGGCTGAGTCGCTGCCAGCAAACGTCCAACGACTCAAGTTGCGTCTCAGCACCGTCATGTCATGGCCCGCGGGACTTTATTGCAGTATGCGCTGACATGTGCTTTCTATGTGCATCTACTGTGTGTGTGTGTGTGTGTGTGTGTGTGTGTGTGTGTGTGTATGTACTTACCAGCTCGCTACCGACAGCCTTCTCTGCTTACCATCTGCATCCTAGACGGAAGTGTCGGATCGCCAGTGGATCGGCAGGGTGCACTGTTTGGGAGACGATACATCTGTTTAGTTGCCCGAGAAACAGGGCGCAGCATGGTGCCAGGGCTGCAGGCTCAGTCTGAGTCCGGTGAGGCCTACTATACCATCTACACAATAGCATCTAGTACTCGTACACCTACCTCGTCTACTGCTACTATACAAGGCCCGCTCCATGGTGTTGGTGCCGCTGCTGGTACTGGTACTGGTCCTCTCCACACAACCACCCGCCCTAGCCTGAAACACCCTCAACACCATCACATCTGCTCTGCCTATCACCACAATGCCGCGCGTCATGTGATTGTCCTGCCCCCCCCTCCCCTCATCCATCATGCATCATGCAAAAGCAGCAGCAAACGACATGGAAATTAACATTGCAGCATGTGCATATAGAGTTTGTACTTAAAATCTATCTTCACATAAACGGCTGACTGTGTGCTGGGCAGAATTTGTCGTGCCAACCCGACATGGGCCATGGCGATGGCGAGGGCATCCATCACGACAAGCCGATCGCGGCTCTCGGGGCGGCGGCTGTTTCTCCGCCTCCGGTTTGACCCGTGCATGGACCGTCACAACATCCGTCCCGGCAACCGCTCCCAATCAACACCGCCACACAACACACACACACCCCCCCACCGAAAATAGTCAACAACAAAATAACATCATTACAATTGCATAGTATCTACAGTAAGAACATCCAACATCCCCCCTCAAGCACTGCTCCCCACCGCCCGTGCCATGGCGCTCTGCACAAACCCCCGCATGCCTGGTGATGTCGTCGATGCTGCAGCCCTCGGCGCCTCTGCGGTATCTATCACGATTTCCCCATACTGCGCATCCTGATGATCCTTCCCCAGACTCGGTCTGCCTGCCAAATTCTTAAACGGACACGACCCCGCCGCCATGTCGGCCTCTTCAATCTCACTCTCACGCTCACCACTACCTTCACGCAAGACAGGTTTGCCGTGCAGATAGCCTTCAGGCTCAACCTCGGGCACCAATCGCTCCTCTGCAAACTCGTCGCCGTCGCGAACATACCACTTGGCAAACAGATCGTTCTGGATCCAAATCACCTTGCTCAGCGCCTTGACAAGCGCAATCTTGCGCTCCATCTTCAGCCGTGGGTGCGACAGCACCGCTTCTGTAATAATGTCCTGAACAAACGACAGCGTCACGCCAATGTGCACGTATTCGACGTGCAGCGGATGCGCCCGCCCTTGCCCCACGTGCATCATGCCTACTTTGTCCAGGTACTCCCAAAACTCCATGGTCGACGGGTCGCTGCACAGCTTGTTTAGGTAGCCCCGCAGGAACATTTTGCGGTACAGAATCTGCGGAGAGTTCTCGTCGAGGTTGCTGACGTCTACGCGCCCCTGGTACGATGTCGATCGCGTTTCAAACGCCCGTGCTGTGATGTCGTACTGCAGAAGCTTCTTGTACACAATGTTGACTACCGCGGGGATGAGCGCTTTGATGTACTTGGCCCCGCTCGTCAGTGCTTCCATGTCGCCTGCATTTTTTTTTCAAAGTTAGTCTTTTGCTTCCCAAAGTATAACTTTGTTTTTTTGTTGGGGACAGAGTTTAAGCGTACGTGAACTAAAGTCGAGAAACGAATGGAGGTATTGTATCCGTGCCTCGAGACTGGTATAAAGCTCCCTCCGATCTATATGCTGCATCGGCCGATGATTCTGTAGTGTCGCCATCTCTGTAGTATGTGTGTGTGTGTATGTTGTTTGGAAAATTCAAACTCTGTCGTTGGCTCCTCTTATGGTTTCCACTCCTTGTTTGTTGCGAACAGAATTCCTATCCCTAGTGTAATAGTCGTGTGTGTGTCTGTTCCCGAGTTTTCAATCTCTCTTCAAAAAAAAGTTTGTCGAATCCACACGTTCTCTCTCTCTCTCTCTCTTTATAATCTAATGAAACAAACCGAAAAAAAAAATTGACGACAAGATTCGCCCTTCTTAACTCTATATACCTCACAACATTTCCCCACACAGCCAAGATCCCATATCCCAACTACCGGGCGAAAACAAACCCGTCCCACATAACTAACAGATAAGGTCCGTGCGCAGCACCGTAAGGCTTAGCCCATGGTGGTGTGTCCATCTTGCATCGTAAGATGGCGTGACGCTCGTCTTTGCATCTCACCACTTAACCCACGTACTAACGTATTTTCTTTGCTCTGTATGAGACATACGCGCTTTTTTCGCATTTTCCCGCCCCATCGTCGTCATCATCATCATCATCATTCTTCGTATCACATCATAATACGATCACTTTTTTCTTAAAAAAAAAACCACACACTCAATCACGACAAATATTGGTAATTAAGAAGATTTAAAGGCTGGGAGGGGGTTTTCCTTGCCATGGCGCAAAGCGAGAGCAAAAGGTGTAGTACTTGGGTAAATATGGGAACTCGCTCATCCGAGTACTATAGCTAGACACCCCCCCAACCCCCTCTCCACCCCCCTTTTTTTTTCTTAAAGCAAAACGGGGTATAAGCAACCGTGTTTGGGGTTGGATTGTCGCTATAAGATGCGGTAATACTAGGGAAGAGGGTAAGTTTTAGCGAGAGCGGAAAGTAAATGTTGGGTTTGCAAGGGGGGGGGGGGGGGGGAAGCAGCTAGATGGTGTATAAGTGATGGTTGTTAAGTTTCAGAATAGTGTACTATATTTTTCGGCGCGGAGGTTTGGGACTGGGCAGGGGCCGGATGCGAGGGTTGAGATGGTGATGGGATGGGCATGGCCCCTTCGTGGTTTGGGGTTGTGGGCAGGGATGGTCCCGGGGAATGGGGTTGGCAGGGGGGGAAGGAGGGAAAGTGGATGTGGTTTGTGTATGGGGGACCCCCATTGATCGCTTAGGATTATATGGAGATGATTGTTGCATGAATTATATGCTTATCGTGTTTTTTTTTCTAGAAGGGATTGTTTGGTTCCTTGGTATGGGTTTTTTGTGTTGAGGCTGCAGGCAGGGTGATGCAGGTACGCTCGTCTACTGTGATTTGTAGGGGACGGATGGTATTCGTGGTTTGAAAGGATAGTTTCGTAATCAGTGGTTCGATACATCCATCGGTCTGCTTTCTTGTAGAATTCAGCAGAGATTTTGACCCTTGATCTGCTGATACTTACAGAAGGACAATTGCTTGGTTCTTACCCAACTGATCAGCTTCTCGCCATTGTTTATCGCCATTGTGGTTCAAGACTCTCACATGTGCAGTTTGCAGGTTCAGGCTCATGTGGCAGAATCACGCGAAGAATTAAGTTTGTAGTGACGCTGATCCACCGGCTATATCTGAAGTCATCACAGGATAATACTTGCTTAAAAATCACCTCTTGACATCATGCATGTCATATGACTGTCGGTATAAGAGGATCCATCAAAGCCCTAAGCAGGTTTACCTATGTCAACTATTCGTTTTCTGTTGCGGCTCTCATCATAATTCCATCGTCCTAAATCCTCCTCCTTATCCTTTTCTTCTAACTCTGACTTTCATCTTTTATCATTCATCGCGGCAACCCTTGATTTAACATTTGACTACCTTATTTATCTTAATCCTGTTACTTCTGTCTAGTACTAACGTATTCTTAGTTGCGCTATACATTTCTACCGACAATCGTCGATATATTTGACCGTGCAAGTGTCGTCCATGACGCTACTGTATTTGAATCTCTGTGCAATTTGGCGCATTACTCTACATGTAAGCAACACGCGCATTGCTTAATTATTATGCGCCACACATAAGCCCTAGCCGTGTGTGGTTCGTGGGACATTTATCGGCTGCTTACATACCGTAAAAGGTATACATATCGTGCTCGAAGATGATCAGATACAACGATCGGAGTATTTGATCCATCGCTCCTCCGGTAGTCCAAATGGAAAAGAGCAGCTTGTTGCTGGCACTAAAGAAAGTCATACCGAATATTGAATAGATCTTGCTGCACCTGCTCTCACAGCACGGAAGCCTTTGCTGCACAATGTAATGTGTATTGCTATGTGAAATCATCTCGCTTGTGGCTTATGTTAACGTCCAGGGTAAATGTTCTTGCCAATTTGGTGCATCAAGAGGTAGACCATGATCTTAAGAGGGCATGTAGTAAGCCCCCTGAAGTAGGTGAGTGGAAGATACAAATATATAAAGACGCAAGTATGGACGCGACTAACGATCTCATCTACGTTTGATCCTACACCTTTTGAGAAATTCTGAATGGCCAACCTAAAGATTCACCACATAACCCCAACGCAATGCATCCATGGATCCTTCTTCTATCCCTAGCCACTGTCTCAACTGCTAGTGTGTGTGGGTTTCGAGCGAGCACCGTGACTGGGAAGTGCAACAGATCTGGTCATTGCTCCTTCCCAGCGTTAAATTGTTCACCTGGAACCCAAGAGACAATCGCTAATGCAGGTCCTGCCCGTTGCAGCAGCAATAATCAATGTGTAATAGAAGTGAGTTCTCATTTTTCTCTATTATTCTCGAAAAAAAGACGCACTACTAACACCACTACAACAGCGATGTTGCTGTTCACAAGGCGGCTGCTAGGTTCTATGCAGATATCGAAAAGAAATTGTTGACGCGCATGTTGGGAAGTCAGACCGTTAGACTTGAACCGTTACTATGAGCGCTAGTAGCTCAAGTAGGGCTACGGAGTGCCCCATACACTATTGCGTTTTAGCAGTCGCCGAGCAGCAAATCGCAGATTCCTTGGCAAATGATATATCTTATCACCAGACCTACTCGCATCCAGTATGTCTCTGCTCCTTTACTCAATAACCCATGCTTTGCGCATTGCCTTGACACGAACCCAAAGGCGTGTATGGTTGCATGCTAGATTCAGATATCTCCCTTGTTGTAAGGAATAATTCCAAGGTCTCCTGCTACCCATAAAATAGAGACTTTGTAGTCAATTTGATCATATGTGTTCGTGATAGAGGTCCAGCCACGAGAGACGATAAATTGGCTCCGAAATCTGACAGGATCATAGTACATGTCAGAATAACTTCCATCTCATACATGGAGGTAAGGAAAAGACACTGAATTCATATGGTGCTGCAGAAACATAAGCATCACTTTAACTAATTCAAATAAAATACCGTATCTATGCGTCGATAGCCGCCGCCCCGAATTCGGACTACGTCAACCCACGAGTACAGTACATACATCTGAGCCATTGAGCCCCAAACATTCGACGATACCACAAGAATCTCTATATCCCAATCCAGCAAATCCCTCACAAACATGACCATAACCAACGTCGCCCTCATTGGCGGAACAGGCACCCTCGGCGCGCCCGTCCTGCGCGCCCTCCAAGCCTCAGAATTCTCCCTCTACGTCCTCAACCGCCAGACCTCCAGATCCGTCTACCCAAAAACAAACGTCATCACCGTCCCCGACGACCTAGACGTCGATGCCGTCGCCAAAGCGCTACGCAGCAAAAACATCGACGCCTTGATCATCACCATTGCGGGGAGCCACGTGGAATCGCAAAAGAAGCTCATCGATGCGGCCTTCAAAGCAGGCGTCAAGCGCGTCATGCCCGCCGAATTCGGGAGCTGCGATTCCGCCGACGAAAAGACAAACGAGATTCTGCCCTTGATGAAGGGCAAGAAGGTCGTTAGAGACTACCTCATCTCGCTGCAGGACCAACAGCGCGAACCCGGTATGGGTAACCTGACTTGGACAAGTCTCATCACTGGCCACTTTTTCGACTGGGGTATGACATGCGGCTTGCTAAAATTCGACGTCAAGACCCGCAAGGCGTATCTACTTGATGGCGGCAACATCAAGTTTTCCGCATCCAATGTCGATTTCATAGGCAAGGCGGTGGTTAGAGTTTTGGAAAAGGAGGAGCAGACTAAGAATAAGCTGCTGTATGTGCATAGTCACCGTGTGACGCAGCTGGAGGTGCTGGAGGCGCTGGAGAAGGCGACGGGAGAGAAGTTTGAGCGGGTTGAGCAGAAGAGTGAGGAGGAGTTGGAGGTTTGTAGGCCGAAGATGTTGGAGGGGGACATGGAGGCGAGGGAGGAGGTTGTGGCTGTTTGGGGGGTTGTTGCTGCGGATTGGAAGGAGAGGGAAGGGTTTGCGAACGAGTTGCTTGGGCTGGAAGAGGAGGATTTGGATGAGGTAGTGAAGAGGGTTGTTTCGAACCTGTGAGAGGGTGTATGGTGACTCTGGTTTCGGATAGTAGGGCAGGCTATGGCCCGTTGTCTGTTATTGTCGGGATTTGGCGGTGCATATAGCCTGCCTTTTGATTTGTCTCGGCCACCCCAGCGATACTCATCTACTTCGACTTCTTAGACTATAGAGAAGATGAACGCATCCCACTTGCACTAAACTATAGCTATGGCACCGAATAATGGAGAGCTGTGGTATCCACCCCTGAATGGTTCTATGGAATGAAGTATTGTTTGTTTCCCCACTAGGTTGGTAACTGGATCGCCACCTTCGGGATTGTTTTTTTACGATTTACTCTGCGAATACTGACCCAAATAGGAAATTCGACAGATCATTTTAGAGCCCTTAATAAGGAATATACTTTACTAGCAGAAAAATCTCCTATAACGTGGTTCACAAGCGAGTCGGCCACCCAAGCGAGTCGGCCACTTTACACTAGCGCGTCAACTTCAAGTTATTACAACAGACTTTTATCATAGTTAATAAACTATTACAAT